GGGGGAGGGGGGTAAACCATCCAAGATGGCCGTCACTGCCTCTGATTGACCGAAATCATATCTATTAACAACATTCGTTCTACTTCATGGAACTTGATGAAACTCAGTGAAAGGGATGATAACGTCACACCGCTTGTTTTCGACAAAAAAATAATTCACTTTGAACTCAAAATGGCGGCCAAATGAAGGTTTCTTATTGGTCTATATTGAAATATCGTCCAATTTGGTAGAAATTAGGTATGAATGTGAAGTATGGCACTACAAACACAACTGCGGTGTTCCTTTTGTGAATAAACAAAATGGCTGCCATTTCCTGGCCTCTGATTGGTCAAAACAAAACAAATTGTCCGATTTTCATGAAATTTAGTATTTCGGATTTATCATGGGACACCGGTCACTTTCGTAACCTTTCGTAAGCCAAATGCAGGCTTCTGATTGGGCGAATTTAAATATCGTCCAATTTTGATGACATTTCGTATGTAGGTGTAGTATGGCACTACGAACACAACTGCGGTGATCGTTTTGTGTAAACAACAAAATGGTTGTATAATTAGTAGGGGGGGGGGGGACTTTCGCTATTGCTCGCAATTGCAATGCTAGTTATTATTATTATTACAAGCTAACCATTAATAAGATTTATATATATATATATTCAATGCCGCTGTGACTATTCTCCATAATTATGCTTATTGAAGAATTTAAAGAAACTGTGGTTAGGTATACATGTAGCAAACACTAGTGAAAGCAAGTGTGTTTTTTTTTATAAAGGCACTGGATCAGCCCAACAGAACTCAAAATATAAGTAGTGCATTTTCTAAACTACAGTGTAACAGTGATAGAGACCTAACCCCCGGGCATGGAAAGTTATCCAAAGCAAGCACTTTCATTGAGGAAGCACTGTATAAAGTCAAGAGTGTAATCAGCCCAAGAGAAATCAAGATATTGTGCATTAGTGCATTAAACAGATTTTCTATTTATAGAGACACACTGACCTTTGACCACTGGACCTAAACAGTTATCCCAAGCAGGCACTTTCTTCCATGAAGCACTCGATAAAATCTGAGTGTAATCAGTCCAACAGAATTTGAAATACAGTGCACAAACTGATGTTCTATTTATAGTAAGTGACCTTGACCTTTGATGTCAAAGGCTGAAAAGCTATCAAAAAGCTTAAACAAACATTTGATTACACTTGATAAAGTCCATGTATGCACACACACAAGGTTCTAAACTTAAAGTTGATAAGTTGACTTTAATATTCATATGGTTTTTCTGTATGTTATTACCATCTCCATAACATATTTGATGAAGTTGCCAAGTCTTTAAATTGAATCAGTTGATGATTTTCTATATATAGCAACAGTGACCTTGGCCTTGACCTTGGAACCCTGAAGCACAACAATGTCCGAAGTATACTCATACTTGACCTTTACATAAAGTTTGACCAAAATCCATGAACGAATGAAGTTGCTAAGTGTTTAAATTGAATCGAGACGGGACGGGACGGGATTATTTTCTATATATAGCAAATGTGTCGACCTTGGCCTTGACCTTGGATAACTGAAATACAAAGATGTCCAAAGTATACCTATACTTGACCTTTGTATAAAGTTTGACCAAAATCTGTCAATGAATGAAGTTGCTAAGTGTTTACATTGAATCGGGATGCGACGCGATGCGACGCGACGGGACAGGATGCCGCACCAGGGCAAAAGATCACTTGTCCTTGGCAGGTGAGCTAAAAACAGATAGAAGGACAGACAGACGTAAAATCTGATTACTATAGATGTGCAGGGGTCCTAACAACAAATTGTGTAATTGAATTGGAGAATCTCCCTTTGGGACCCCACTCCTCCCCCTAGAGAGCCAGAGTATTATGAGAGAGACCCTCTGTTAAACGGTATTCAGTCTTCTTAACCAAGTAATGCTCCAGACCATTGGTTTGAAAACATCATCAAGCCATACAGAAGGACTTCAAAGGATGTACTGTTTCAGGTGATTTATGTCCTCAGCCTGGGTCATATGAGGACGGGTGTCACCTATAGAAGAAAACTGCAATGCGAAGGAAGTACATGTGTTGACGGAAAAAATACAGTTACTTATAAAAAATTCCTATGTGCAAAGGGCTATAACTCCAGAAAAAATAGAACATGGACACTGGATTCTAACTCAAACTGTAAACCATTATGCATGTATACTAAGATGCAAATAATATGGAAAACAGTTAATTATTAGAATTTACTATGTGCAAAAAAACCATAACTCCAGTCAAAAATGGAATTTTAATACATGGTTCAAACTCTGTAATCTATTATGATAAAGCCACAAACAAAGTTTCAAATTGATATGGCAAGCGGTAGCGAAATAAGTCCAAAAAAAGGGTTATTTTGATAATTTCCTATGTGCGAAGGGCCATAACTCCAGCAACAAATGAAATATTGACACAGGGTTTGGACTCTAACTGTAATCAATTATGATAAAGCCACATACCAAGTGGCAAGCGGTAACGAACAAAGTATGGCAAACAGTTAATTATGTGTGAAGGCCCATACATGTAACTCCAGCAAAAAAAAATATATTGGCACGCAGTTTGAACTTGATCTGTAATCTATTATGATTAAGCCACATACAAAGTTACAAATAGATATGGTAAATGGTAGTGAAAAAAAGTCTGGAAAACTTAAATGTGACTGCCGCCGCCAACGACAACGTGTGATGACGGACAGACTGATCCTTCAGTGTTCGCCAGGCTTCTCAGGCGGCATGACTAATAAGGGAAGGCAGAACAGTGAAGAAAGAAAGGAAAATTTTAAGATCCTAAGTGTGTTGCAATGGGAGCAGAAGATCTATTTTGGTCTGTTCAATGTCCCCAAAGTAGGAGACATGAAAGAAAATCCCCGATTCTTCAGGCCCCCCCCCCCCATATTATATGTAAATTATGGTTTGACAGATTTTGACAAATTCGATGACTCAAGTAGAAAATTGTTTGAATCATGTAATCTTGAAAAAGAAAGCAAAGGGACATAACTCTTCAAGTAGACTCCAATTTAAGTAATTTGTGCTGATCTGACAGATCTGTCAATTCAAGATCTATCTATACACCAAAAGAATAAGAAGAATTACACATTATTATATGTTTCGCATGTCTGAAATTGTCTGACATTGTCAGGAAGAAAATCTACATTTTAAAGAAAGTGGTAGCTATGGGAGCACCCTATATATGTTATAAACATAAAAAGTATAGGTATCTTGCAAAACAATAAGCAAATTTCGCAAAACCACCAATTCTCAAAAATCACCTAAACATGACATATTTTATCTAAAAGAAAACTTGGAATACATAGAAGTAACAAACTATATCCGATATATAACAGAAAGGAATGTGAGGAAATCATGCGAGGAACACAACTCACAGAAATATTATCCAAAGGAAGACAATCAATCATAACTACACAAATACTTAAGAGTACATAGCAAGTGTTCCCAGTTTAAAACAGAGAGTATGAGTATTACTTGAAACTTTAAATTATAAAAGAAACAATTCTCAGGGATACCATCTAAATGAAAATTAATTGATTGATAAAACAGTCGAGATGCATTGAAAATCCTCCCCACACGGAAAGTGAAACAAACATTACAGTAAAATGTTCAAACCTGGCCTGCATGGTGTAAAGTTTCACCTTTTGACCTTTTGTAACTTTCAGCTTTCTTGGCGAATTTTTCCGCATTGTTAAATATCTCCCATTCTCATCAGATGTATATGAAGTGCGTAACAAATGGAAAAATAAAAATATGAATGATAAACTGCCAGAATAAGATGTATAGGAAAGCAAACAAAGGGGCACAACTCTTCGAGTTCGTGAAAATCCAGCCCTTACTTTCTTCTATTTTTAGGATGCTTCTACACCAAAGTCAAATAACTTTGGCTATTTCAACTTCTGACAGGTCAATGACCCATGATGAGACTTTTTTAGCCGGCAAAAGTCAGACCAAAAAATACTGCAGTGCAATTTTATGTCAACTTATGTATTAGTGGATTTGAACACCATTGTAAATATGAATGTTGACCAGAAATATTTTAACATTTAAGCGAACATATATATTTTTTTTACAATCCTTTTAATAACAGATTTAGGGATTGAAGAGTTCAAATGTTGTTTGTTGATGTTTAGTTGATCGAAGAGATACATGTATAACATTTTTTTTAAACACAGTATTCTAAAAGATATGATTAAGGTTTCAGACTCATTTCAGTTATCAGTATCTTGTGAGGAAACTCCATGTATTGTAGCAGAAAAATGTCAACAAATAATATGAAGAGTAGTGCAGTTGATATAGAAAGTTCAATTCCTGCTATATATTTGTAGTAAAGCTGTCAAAGAATCAGATATTTGGCAGACCTTTCTGATACATATGACTTAAAAGTGGTTGCAAGGATTTATAAAATCCCAAAAAACAAACTGATTCCTATCCCTTATACAGAGAACAGTGTTGAAAAATAGATGAACTGAAGGTACTGAAAATAACGTCAGGTAATTCGGGTAAAATGGACTTCCATCATGATTTTACATATTCATAATGTGTTTATACACCCTCCTTTAAGAAAAACACATTCCATACATGTTTTCAGCTTGTTTTTGTTGTCATTATCTGTCCAGCCTGTAACATCTCATCTTTGCTAGCCAAGCGTTCATTTTGTATTCACATATTCATGTATTCAACCTTAGCAGATTTAGCCTTGTTCTCTAAGCTTTCAAATTATTGAACCTGGCACAGGGATTTGGCTCGATTACCATCCTATGGTCCACATATTTTTTTTATATCATACTTTATATGATACACATATGTGAACTGAGGGTTAGAAATTTATATACCAAGTTCCTGTGCATGTAAATAATAATGGCGGCGCCCAGTACCAAGTTCGACTATGTCATGATTTATATAAAAAAAACCAAAGGAGGGCAATACTTATTTTCTGTATATGATCAGTTGGTATAGATAATTGGCCATATTCTAACTGTAAATGATAACCAAGGGAAATACATAGGCGACCAGTGCTGAAATAATCTTGAAAGTTTAAAGTTTTGCTAGTAAAGTGTCTATGCAAGGTGGCAGGGGAGGGAAATTAAACACAAGGCTAAATCTGCCAAGGTTGAATAGTACAAATTTAAATTATGAACCCTTGGCTATTGAAGATGGTGAGATAACGGGGTTCGATTGTAAAATAAGATGTGTATTCAACAGTATGCGCCAGTGAAATTACACTATAAAGTCAGCATCAGTCCTGCGCTATCACAAGGAGACAAACATGAACATACCACAGACTCCCAAAACACAAATTAATTATGCACAAACTCACCACACGCATGCATCTAGCAAATTGGGGAGGCCGTCCTTAAATGACCATTTATAGCTGTTGATAGGACATACATTAAACAACACTAACTCAAACCTGAAGTTCATTTTGACATAAAGATCTTATTTATTTGGATAATTTTATGGAAATGATGACTTGTTATTTTAAACAAATGATTTGTTAATTTCAGCTTGCATGCACTGTATGAATGTTATTTTAATAACATTGTACCCATATGAGTCCATGATTGTCGTGAAGTGGTGCTTTATTTGAATTTAATACATTTGATGCTCTATTACTTGACCTGGAACGCATTCGTAGCCATACCGAGACAATTACAATACTGTGGTATAACTGTTTATATATTGTGTACATAGTTTAAGCGTCTGCGAAACCAGCTGTTCTAACTTCCAAACGTCCAGGTGACGAGAAAGAACATGAGAGGAATGTTTCTGACTTTTGACAGGAGCTGTAGGCAATTAACACTTTTCAATTTGTACTATTCTTCTTTTTGGATAACGATGCTTTAACTTGTAAGCGAAAATACATCACTGGCGTCACGAGCAGCATCGATACTAAAAACTTCCTTTAATATTAACGGCTGCCAAATCCATGCTCCTGGTTACAAATAAATGCTATGTCCCAATCACCTGCCCTCTGGACTGGTTTTTAAGTAAGTTGTTTTAATGCCAAATTTTGTACAGCATGATTATTTAGCCTCTTTATCTTAATCCTTCCAGCGTAGGTAACTTGTGATAAAATTTGTTGTTTGCCTTACACTGTCACAATGTTTTACCATTTACATATATATATATGTTTGTCGAAATACAAGCTCCTCTGAGCTTATGTTAACTATGACACATATTCAACGTAAAATAATTATTCTTTTATTTTGAAGTAATATGCCACTATGCTTTTATCCGATAATTTTAAGATAAAAAAAACAACAACACACACAAGCTTTTAATCACGAACTTTTCCTCGAATGCGCTTATGTATAATCTTCGGCACGATGAAGGACACAAGTTAAGGTATATTGTTGATGCCGACATGTACAAATGTATGTGAACTGTAAAACGAAAGTAGGCCTGCGCGATCGCAAACATTTCATGCTGATATTTTCGTATAAATGTATGTTAGTACTTGATGTGATAGCAATGGATTAAACGAGTGTTACCTTGTGTTGTATTCTAGCACATCAGTGTCTCAATACATACGGTATTAATCTGTTAATGTTCGATAAACGTGTGTTTATTATTTCGGTCCTGATTATGTTGTGAGGTATTTCCGGGTCACGTTCTCGTATCAAGTGCGCTTCCGGTTACGTCATAAAAAGCAAAATCTTTTTGATATTTATTAACTAAAGATAGTTTAAAGAATAAACGAGTCAATAAAAACAATATCAATACATTGTAAATATTATTTTCTTGAATGTTCGCGAAGCAGACGACGTTTGATCATAATCTGGAAACTAGAACATTTTTTCAAATAAAATTTGTTTTAACATTTGAAAGAAAAAGTTTGAAGGGGAATTTTTTTTTTTTTTTTTTTTTTATGAATTAATGAAAGTGATACAAAAAAGAAATATAGTAAATGATTGATAGTAAATTAATCAAAAACATCATCCTTAGAGAGTATGTTCTGGGCATGATCGTTTAGAAGCTTTGCAATACTTCCAACTCTTTCAAACGCGCATCAGCCCGAGATTAGACCCTGTTTACAAAATGGCGACTGGAAGTAGCAAGGCGGATTAAATTGGAACTTCAATTGTGAATATTTCGGCAAGTAAGCATTGTTCACAAAGTCCATGTGGTCTGTTCATCTAATTTAGTCAAGATGTACTCAGATCAGTCGTTGTTTAGTCGCTAGGGTCATTCACAAAAAAAAGAGGATTATTATATAAACTTATTGTAATTATTTCTTCCACTTTCTCCTGCCGACGAGGTTTCTAACATTTTTCTCGAAAATCGTAGGGCGGAATTCAACGAAACTTTACAAGATTGGTCGTGCATGACAGGCGGTGCGCAAGAGAATTTTTGTTTTACGATCGGTCAACCGAATGATCGGCCGGACGGCGGCCTCTGATTGGTCGAAATTTAGATATAGTTCGATTTTGATGAAAATTGGTATAGGGATATTAGGTGACTGTGAATTCAACCGCATAGGTTTCGTTGCCATAGCAACAATATAGCTACCAAAAGAAGGCTTATGATTGGTGGAAATTGAGATATTGTTCGGTTTTGATGAGAATTGGTATATAGGAGAATAAGGGGACTGCAAATTCAACCGCATTCGTTTGGTTGCCATAGCAACCACATGGAGGCTTCTAAATGGTCGAAATTTAGATATATTTCGATTTTTATGAAAATTGGTATATATGTGTATTAGGGGACTGCGAATAAAACTGCATACGTTTCGTTACCATATTAACCACACGAAGGCTCCTGATTGGTGGACATTCAGATATTGTTCGATTTTGATGAAAATTGGTATATAGGGGTATAAGGGGACTGCGAATTCAAACGCATAGGTTAGTTGCCATACCAACAACACAGAGGATTCTGATTGGTTGCAATTGAGAAATTGCTCAATTTCCCTGAAATTTTGTATGTACATTGTAGGTGTACTATGGCAATGCGATCCTTTTCTGATGCATCTTTGCGACTATAGGGGCAGTTTGGGGGACATCTGTAATGGTCCCCCATTACAATTAGTACTTGTTAGTTTTTCATTTATGTTGAGCATGTCCTATTTTACCAAATTTCCGTTAGGAAGTGGGAGAAAAGGAGTAAAGCAATAAATAGGTATGAACTAATGCGAATTTCCTCTCCCTTAAAAGATTCCTTATATTAATCATTTATTTAAAACATAGCACATATTAAAACATATCAAATTTTAAAAAAAAAATCACCTATCTTGACACGATTTATTATAGGTTCCAGCAAATATAACGAGCACATCCTCCTTTACAACAAAGGACAACGTAAGAGAGTGCGTCTGTCAGGTAGGTAAAACGATGCTGAAAGGCTAAATAGGGTTATCTGTATGCAAATTAGTTTACAGAAGAAAACGCAAACTGAACCCCCTTAACCGTGTCATTTGCTATAAAATATATTCATCCGGACTTTAGACCAATATAGTCTATAATGTTAAGAATTGACATATCCGATCGTTATAAATTCCATATGATATGACATTTTAATTTTGTGCTGTTTTTTATTTTGTATGTCACGTGTTACCTATGAAGTGTAAGACTAATCATTTATGCATGTTACGAGACCCAAATTTGGACTGATCGATCGATCATTGGTACAGAATGAAGTTTAAATATTTTCTACATCGGAACACCCCTAGTCTTTAACCTGTGCATTTGTAATTTCAATTTTGGTAAAATGTATATGTCTTATATTCTAAAGTCAGGAGAGTGTTAAAAACAGGCACACTATTTGATGAAATATCTTTAAAATTAAAGACAATGTGCAACTCTTCCATTTGAATATATCTCTATTGGTACTTTTGCAGATTTGGAAACAAAACTCCGACCTTTAGTTTCCCAGAAATCAGGTATTAGTATTAAACATTACTTAAACTATTAAATAACCATATATCAATGCATATTTGATAAGGAAAACGAAAACAAGCAAACTACAAAATATATCAATAAACGACTATTTAGATTGTGTAGAGTCATGACAAACCTATAAATGAGATATAAAGAAATGAAATATTTTCAAAATACTACAATTTCTTTTCCAGATGGCCTTAGCGAAAAAGAAATACAAAAAGTCATAGATGATATTGTGTATAAACTCCGCATGGAATGTAAGTGACTACCGCTTTTTCCCCATTAAATATAAATATAGATGTGATATATATAAAATACAAAATACAAAATAAATATTCGCAAACACATTGAATCATAAAGCGTTTCCTACGGAGACTTATTGCCAATATTGTAAAAGTGGAATATTTTGCGAGTGAAAATGTTCCCTATGAACTGATCGAAGTGTAGAAAATTTCGCGCTCGCATTAGTTCTAAAATCCATATATATTAATTTCCTCAAAAGGTTATAAAAATTTACTTAACGAGAAAAGGGAGAACATTTCAAAATCGCAAAGATGTCCACCGTTACAGTATATATATATATCGATAAATACTATCATCACGAACTTATTGGTATGTGGACAGCATAAATAATATTATTGAAGCAATTGCGTGTAAATATATCACCTGCGATGAATTGTTGGTGGTTTTGGTACAAAATTTCAAATTGTTTTCAACAGAACTGTCTGCTGTTTATTTATCTATTTTTTTTTCAATTCATAGAACACTTTATACTAACACCAATGCAAGGTCAGCGCGACATTTTCTGACCTACTTACATATTTGATGGTATAATATTTTATTTTTTGCAGCTGCCAAGCGAATGCAAAATGAAGAAGCAGATTCATTCCACTTAGGTAAGAGTTCATCTTTTTGTTTTATGTATACGTATACGTGTATTTTCACACAGTGCACTTTTACTCTTTCGAATCAATTCCTCTGATGAGAGAAAGTTAAATGTTGATTGCATCAACAAGTTTACATTAGATGGTATGAAACGGCTGTATTAATTGGATCGATGTATATTTGTTGATAACCGATCTGCAGTTTGTATGTTTTTAGATTTGGTTAACATTTAGAGAGTAAAATGATTTACCGCCCACTGAAGCAATTTGTATGTTTTTAGATTTGGTTAACGTTTAGAGAGTACAATGATTTACCGCCCACTGAAGCAATTTGTATGTTTTTAGATTAGGTTAACGTTTAGAGATTACAATGATTTACCGCCCACTGAAGCAGTTGTATGTTTTTAGATTTGGTTAACGTTAAGAGACTACAAGGGTTTACCGCCCTCTGAAGCAGTGTGTATGTTTTTAGATTTGGTTAACGATTAGAGAGTACAAGGATTTACCGCCCACTGAAGCAATTTCTCTCCGTGATTGTTAGCATGGCCACACTACGTTAAAATCTTAACTTTTCGTCATCCTTCGTTATTTACAACTCTGATAATTTATTGATTTTGTGTATTCGGTAGAGTCTACAACCTTAGATGGTAAGTGTTATTTCATGACGAAAAAGCTTGGCTAGTAAAGATGTCAATATTTTTCTTCTTTGCTTTAAAGAACAATCAATATATTTTCTGCGGAATTTTTGCAGCATGTATTTCAGATATAATATCTTCCAAAACATTCGAGCCTTTACACATGTTTAATGCTTTAAAAATGCTTTAGACTAAGCTTTGTAGCTTAGGAGTGCTTGAATTAAGCCTTCAATACTAACAAGTCATTCTCTTCTCTCAGATACATGTATTTAGTACACGAACATGTTTAATAAAAGAGAAGCAATAGTTTGAGAATTTGAAAATAGCTTTATATCTCTTGGTCACGGACAGCAACCTGCTGACACTTGTAGAATTATATTTCATACAAATATATCAAATTTCAGAACGACAGAGAGGAGAAAATAATTTAATCTGATCCTAATTATTTTCAGTTTAATATATTTGTTTCAGAAACATGCAACAAGTTCAAAGTTTACTGTTTGAATATTCATCAAACTCGAACACCAATTCTCAAATCAAATAGATGCATTCACTTTGTCATCTACGTTTTGACAGGATGAAGCTTGCGTTTAAGCTACATTTGTTATTAACAGATGCAATGTATTGTTGATATTATGCACCTTAATTGAAATCGAACTGAAAACCATTTTTGGCAAACTTTATATACATATATAATATATACGCTATATCATTAATTTCTGATTTCTTCAGGTAATCGTCATCTCGAGTTTGGTCATCCAATGGTTACTCGTGCCGGAGTGAGCGGATTTCAGAAAAACGAAGGTAGAGTAATTATAATTATTTACCCTAAAACACACAAGAAATAATGCAATATTTTCTTCATAATTATGAAAATCAAATGGAATGAAATAACTGTTATTTCAAAGTTGATAATCTGTGCGTAATTATAAAAGTTTACACTTATTGGCTTATTAGGGTGTTATACTCCGCTAATTATGTTAATACAGGTATCATAATTATTTTATCTCCCTAACCTTTCCATAAATAATTTGTTTTCTGTTGGTGAATGTGCTAAAAATAAATCTGTTTTAATTAGGTACAATACTTATCGGCATTATATAATTGGGAGGCTATTAGTGTGTAACCTTCGTCAATATGTCTTTGATATCGGCGTTCTGCAGCCTCCGTTTATTTTATCATTACATAGTCTTGCATATAGCCAAAGTAGTTTAATTGTCGCTTTTCGAGTAGCAACATCAATTACACTCGCCATGGCCGTATGAGCTATAATAACAAGTGAAAATGATTTCGTCATACGAAACTGGAATGATATCGTTTTTATATACGAATATCGATTAACTAGTAAAACATATCCATTCCCTCCTTACTGGATTGATTATACCCCTTTTTATGAACCTACGATTTCCTTTTTTAATTCGACTTATAGAATACAACTTAGTTCTTCTAAGTATTCTATTAGCGATAGACACATTTCCCCAACAGCAAAGGCTTATTGACAATAAAAATGTCTTAACTTACTTACCTATCTTTATGATTGTGCTTATATATCGCACATGTAACATGGAAGAAGACCTTGGTAAGCTTTCCTGCTGTTTGCTCCGTTCGAAAATATGTACCTATTCTAATAGCAATATGAGCTTTCTAGGGCGCAAAATCAAAATAATACTTTGCCCGTCGAAATTAGACTAAAACTATTAATTAAATTCTCATTTTGTTTTATTTTTTAATGTCCTGATCTTCAGGATTTCTTTCAAAATTGATAGTAAGACATCTGTTCGTCCCCTTTTCAACCTTTTAAATTTTCGAGGTTGATTGCACATACGAAAGACATTTTGGCACAATTATAAAACTTTTCAAATTGCAAACATCTTTTTATTGTGTATCTGAGATTGCAACAAATGGACCAAAAACATGTTTTTTGACATCCAGTCATTTTTATTTGATATGAAAACCAAACAAAATAATACTTTGTATGGTTATAATTATGCTTATTAAATTAAGGTACATACAAAGTATCAGTTAATTAGTTAATTAACCTATACCACTTTACCACAATCGCTTTCCTTTATTGACTTAAGTATATGTTTAATTTTGTTCTTCTTCCATTGGTTGATCAGGTGGCCAGTCAGCGATTAGTAACTTCGGTAAGTAAGGTTTTAACAATATGTTGAGGTGTTTGGCAATGGTTTGGTTGGTATTTTCTTATCAGTGCCAGTTCGCCTCCCGAAGTCAAGGTCAGCGTCAAGGTCAGCGTATATACAGGATTTATAACGTTTACGTCAAAGATGTCGTTATGTCAATTGACCGATCATATAATAAACTTTTATTTATTTTACAAATATGAAACAAGTTATTCAACTTATATAATTACTCGTAATGGCCCGAATGTTAGCTTGCGGATGTTCTTAATGTGGGAGGAAAACCGGAATACCCAGAGAAAAGCCACGTGGTCGGGCAGGTGACTCCATATCTTTTCACGTCCGATCGGAGAATCGAACCCCGGCCGCCTTGGTGAAAGGCAAGAGTCGTTATCTACTGCGTCACCCCACCGTTTAAAGAATAGATTGATATATATATATATTTAGGACGTCACCACTGTGCTTTAAAACCATTTGACCAATGCAAAAATGGTTAATAGTGATGTCAGAACTGCTACATTTGTTGAAATACCAATAAACAGCAAAATCTGATAAATCACAAGTCTATCTGCCTCCATTAAGAGAAGGTACTGACAAAGAATCGTTTTCCATTAATCCTATCGAGAATTATTTCCAAATGAAATGGCTAGATTACTGAAATTATTTGAAATGACATATTGAACCCCGACAACCCCTTCAAAATGTTTAGTTGGACATCAGAATTAACGAGACAAACTTATCAGTATTCATTTTATGTTAGTCATTGGTAGGTCCTCTTTGATAGAGTTACGGAGAACTACGTTTTCAAAGGGTTGTTCTGTTCCTGATAGCGTGGTAAGTAAGGGGTAGAAAAGTTAATCAGATATCTCACTATTTGCAGAGCCATCAAGTATGCTACTTTCCACACTGGCTACGCTTGTCAACCACAGAGACGGAGGCGGTATTGCACAAGGTTGGTGATATTTAATTTAAATGAAATTACGTTCGTCGTTGTTGTATTGCTACTGCTGCGGTTACAGATGAAAAGCAAATATTTTTATAGTGAATTTATACAAAACAGTACGTAAAGGACTTGGATGATTATTTGGAAATTGTATATGTCCTTTTTTTTTTTTTTTTTTTTATCTAATTGAAGTATACGAATCCGATGCATACAGTTGAGGGATTGCATAGCGTTACACGTTGTGTTGTGTGCTCTCGATGACACAGTGTGATTATAGAGTGCTGTGCGATACATGTAGCTATATTACAGTTATTTGATAGGTATCCCAGCTAATAGATATTATGGAATGATCTGTGAATAAATACGATTTCGTATTTTAAATCGTATCTTCATGATTTAAGTATGTTGCTATATTTCAGTCAGATTAACTTTACTTCATATGTCCCCCACTTCCGTTTTTATTCGTCATTTTTACGTGTTACAGGAAGTACCACCGGAACAGCGTCAGCATCCGAAACAACGAACATCGCGGGAGCAGACAACTCCGGTGCAGCGACGGGAATATCAAGTAGTTATATTTAAATTTAAAACTGCCCATTTATATCGAGTTTTAAACATCCACGGACATATACAGGCGCGGACATATGTGTACATCAAGAAATGTTTTTCAGCAGCGTTCGCATTAGTTAGAATTCCTCTCACCGAAAAGTATATATAATCAAAACGTTTATCGTTCCACAATACGTTGTAAATATCAACAGAATAGATTTGTCACATCTTGGCGCAGTCATTTTATTAGAAATGTTACCCCAGCATCGAACGTTGTGAAACATATTATCTTTTTGCCTTGATGAATGTCCTTATTGAAATTTAAAAAAAGCTTCTGAAAATCTTTCTCATTCTCTCAATCGACAGGATAGTGAAAATAATATATTTCACCTACTTTTAAGAACGCCATGTTAATCGTTGAAATATCATGTTTCGGAAATTATAAATATCAACAGACTGACTAATTTACAATATCAATTAGCAAGAAAAGTATATCAGAAAACTACGCTTATAAAATTTAAGTTTCTAAAAAAACAATTTTACATAAAGCAAGGATAATATCAACGGTAACATGTTATGTCTAAAAGAATCATTGTTTTAAAAAAAGAATATTGAATTAAAATACTATTTGCTCTAATTTTGAATAATATTATAAATAAAAATAAAATATAAATAAATAAATATACAACATTTGATATAGCTCCCTATCTAGCTAACATAAGCCACTCTTAAGCGCTTTACAGTACATAGATATACAATTTTAATACAGTCAATACAATTAGCATATATATTAATCAATACAATATTGAAGAATTCGCAGGAGCTGCCTTATCATGCGCTAACTACTAGCCATATGCCACCTGGCTAATATCTCCCTATGTGTGTATGCCTGTGTGTGTGCTGGAGATATATTGTGTTCTGTTTGTAAAGGGACCGTGCTTCCAACGGTATCATTTATAGTGCAACCTCACTTGAATGGTACAGCACAGATACCGCAACACCCACCCCAGACCATTTTATACTCCACTTGGGTTGTTGGAGTTGTGTCGGCAGGAGAAAAACACTTTCTCTAACATTCCATGCGTACGGCGACTTCGGGGATCGAACCACGGCCGCCTGCTTGGATGGCCGGAGTGTTAACCACTCGACCAATCCGCCCATATTGCCTTGGAAAATACTGCCGCTATGCATTCTTTATGCAAAATAACATATCATTTTTTGGGTATTAATTTACAGAACCGTCAGGATTCCTTGACTCATTCTTCCCCGTCACACAGGGACAGACTGGTCCATCAGCAGACCCACAATATGCAGGGAAAATGAGTAAATATTCATGATCCTTCTCTAGACAAACATATATACCGTAATTGTGCTATTATTTGTCAAGCAAAATTCATTAACCGTTCGAGCGTTCTGTTTTTTTTACGATTATAACATATAAGCTACGCAAATAAGCAACGCATTAACACGAATGTATTTTTACAAGTATGTAAATTCAAACACCCACGTTTATCAATATAAATGTCAAATACATTATGTTTAGAAGGTGAATACCATAATTACTCGCAATGAGTTTCGCTGTGTAATTTTGTATGAGTATCGGGTATATAATGTTGAATGAGAGTTGGGTGCATTGTTTGTCGTAATTATTTGAAATGTGTTCTGTCGTGTTTAATGAAAACAAAACCTGTTAATTATTGTTGTACAAATAAGGTGCTGCGGAAGCATTCAGAATCGCAGCCATGTCCTCGCTCATTGGTGGTAGTAGTGTACCAACTACACCTACAACTGGCGGCCAAACAGCAAACACTAATAGTGGTTCTAAAACCATCACAACTGTGACGTCAACGACAGGCACTAATAGCGGGTCAGCGGCAGGTGCCACAGGTGGTTCACCGAAAATTACTAACAGTGGGTCAATGACAAGCCATACTAGCGGTACCAACAAAGCCTCTACCAACACAATAGGTAGTCTAGATCTGTCCAGTATTGGTGCTAGCGAACCAACACAACAAGGTACATCAACTTTTTAATTCCATTAGCGTGTTGTTAAGCTAACATATGTTAAAGATATTTTTTATTTACATGGAGCCATTTTAAAAAAATAAGTTCTTCCTAGATTATACGTATGTGAATTTGTGATTATGGATATTATTATCGATGCTTTCGGAAAGTCGCTCTTTCATATTGGGTTAGTGATGCTGATTGTCGGCTTATGTAGATAAGATTTCATAGCAATCATGACGGTATTGTCATTATCTTTGATAAAATTGAAATATTGACTCAAATGAAATTATTGAAACAATGGATTTAAATTTATATGTTCTTCTCTTGCCAGTTTATTGTCTAAATTCCATTTTTAACTTTTTAAAAAGAGGCCAGTATTTTCAAAAGTGTGCAGTTAAATGGGGATTCATTTTATTAATTTCAAATAGTGTTTAAAGCGCTCAGTGTTGCATCTTAAAAAAAAGACTTAAGATCGCTTAGCAGTTTGTTTTAGAAAAATATCTTTTTGTGTCTTTATGCGATAGAAACAGCTAGAAATCTCTGCTTACTGAAAAAGGTACAATTTCCAGATTCGTCTCTATTATCAGATATTCATTACATAATTGTAGCTTAGTCCAATTAATTAATTTTATTCCAACAAGATTAACAGTATTGAAGTTGTAATATATACTACTTTACCCGTTCTGACAACACATTTATTTGTTCAATCCATGAAAAACCCTCTATGCTCTCCGCCGCTCGTCTTTTAGTCCTCATTTTATACAAATCATGCCTTCCAACAAACCTAATCGGTCTGAGTAGGAAGTCTGTCCAGACTTTTGGGGATATGTGTTTTCGGTTTGTTTTCATAGCTCTACAACTGCTGATTTAAAACAATATGTAATTAAATATCACATTCATACATATAAAAAATTAAATTGACACAGACAAATGATCGTTTTAATTATTTTTCGCCAAAATAAACATTTTGTTACTCCAATTTTCTGGAAGCCAAACATGATTTCATAACTCGTAGTAGCCCGTGGCAGTATGCCCCTCAATCTTTGTTCATCTAATGGGAAAAACATATATCCAACTCGAGATTGTCATTGATAAAATAAGCAGGATATATTTGATAATTAACTAGTACAATTAGAATGAATGGTCTTTATTGGTACAATTTCTATGTACATGCATCTATGATTGGTTTTACATGACTCACTGTTTATCATATAATCTATGATATTCTCATCAAACATTAAGATAAAATACAAGAGGAAGCGGTTGGAACAATGACATAATACGGTTTTTTTCTTTCTGCTTCGACAATATACTTTTTAAATATATGGTCCCATCCTGTTTCTATTGATCGTTCTCAAACTACTCCCGTGAAAAATACCACAATATGAAATTAATGATAGACATAGGACCAACGAAACAAGGAGATGTACAAATGCAGCTGATTTATATATAGCTCTGTTTCTAATAATTATCTATGAAACCTTAAATTTGAATTTAGAGATAAGACAAAAACAATCGTGCATTCGTGCAGGTTGGAACCAAAGTCTAGGTTATGTGACATCAGAAGCAAGCCATGTTAACTAAAATAAGTTACACATTATTTGCCCCGAGTAAGATCATTTGTAATAGGGAAATAGTCCTTTTTGTAAGGATCTGCATATGAATTACGTTCAATTCCAAATAAATCCAGTACATGGGCCTATTTAATATGTTAATAAACTAAAAAAAATATTGTTCGACAAACATGATATGTTAAATATGTTATTTAAACACCTAAACGATAATGATTATATTTGGCATATTTGACAGCGAAACAAACATCCAATGTGAATACCCACGAAACCATTATCACACAAACCGGCATCGAAACATCGCGCTCCTCTCAGGGGAGCGGCGGTGGAATTGGCTCATTGGACCTCTCTGGTATAGGCCCTACCAGCAATATCCCAGCCGCGTCCTCAAACCAAGGTATAGCTCTAAAAGATAAATACAGTAGAGGTTGTTTTATCGAGAAAATTAGCAAATAAAAATGAAACATTTCTTTGAATTTCGTTATCGTAGACATTTTTAAAACAAAGCGATGGCGTCAACAAATGATTATTACGCATTTTACACAATTAAACAGTTTGAATTATGAATTGGTACATATCTCCCATAAATTCACTGAATTGAATTCATAACAAATATTTGGGAATTACTTACATGGTTTTATAGTGTATGCCAGGGAAACGTTTCCATTCACTTTAACAGCCTGATAATCTCAAATTAAAATGAGAGTGTAATTTTTACAGCCATATATGCATTTTATAATTCCAGCAAATATGGCTTCTTCTACATCTACTTCTCAATTGGAACGTTTTATTACTTCGCAAAATAACCAAGGTCCTGCAGGAACAATGGGTGGTCAAGGTAGGACGTCACTGGACACTAGTAACAAAAAAAAAGTTGATTATAACTCATATGTCCAGCGAGATTCCACGGAATAGTTCAGTTTTCATAATACTCTTATCTTCTGGGTTGTTTATACTTTCAGCTTCATGCCATGATTAACTGCACTGATAGGTTTATTGTTTTAAATGTAAACTACAACATATATTGATATCGAAGGATTAATGATAACGATCATTCATTTATAGTTTTTGTATAAATAATAAATTTTCTCTACTCTTGTAAATCTCATTACTACGTCGCAAAACGTTCATAATGCTGGAGCCACAATGATAAGCCATGGCAGGTTATATTCAAATAACCACCGATATCAATATACACCATCCACAAATCAGCGAATAATTAACACATCTGCGTATGTTATTTTGGAATGTATATATAATTAGGTCAGAAAATATTAGAAAAAATATCGGCCTGAGTTAATTGATATCTTTTATTTTCCAATCCGGGTTATGTATTCCACCATAATATACCACCATAGGTATGTATGTACAATTATTTTAACAAGCAAATTGTTGTAAAGATGCGTTTTCTCGTCTATATCAGTGTCCATACGCCTATACTATGAAACGTGACCTAGATAATTGAACTATATAAAAAGGACTCTTCTTTTAGGTCGCCAAACATTTGGCTCGTGATACCTTAGTATTCCTTGTAAAATCAGCTACGCAATTTTTCATTTCTATACGCCATGTAAAACAGACATTGCCAGGAAGTCTTGTTTTATAATATAGGGGAGATATTTGTATTATTGTCAGTTATCACGAAATCAAGTTGAATATGTTCAAAATGATTTTTAGAACAAAGGTCATCCTCCCAAACAAATATGATCAGCAGTGCTGGGGGACCTACGTCAAACCAAGAACCAAATCCTAGACCATACAGACCATCTGGTACCGCTGCTGCTACAGGAGCGATAGCTAACCAGGGTGAGATTCTAAGAAAAGTTGAAATAACAATGCTGATAATATATAATGCATAACTTATATGGGGATATTTACCTCAGAATTACGAATTGTGATGGTTGGCATGTCTGTTATTACATCTGATTTTCTACATTATGCAGAATGCAGAAGAACTACGATTTATTAAGTAATCAAATCGAAATTATATATCATGGGTCTACTTTTCAGACAAAAAGATATTCTGGTTTGTTTTTAAGAAAAATACTTATTTAATAACATATTTCAAGGTTCATGGTTTAGAGATAACTGTTAGACGATTCTTAATCATTAATTTGTGAAACTAAATAGGACTTGAAGACGATAAGCTGTACAGTTTGTGTGAAACCAACTATTGATAAAGAAGTATGCAACGTTTGTACATATCTTTAAGCTAGTCAGTATGGTGATTTTTTATTTTTCCACACAGGAAAAACTCAACGAGCGTCGGAATTGATAGATCTTATCATAGCAAACGAAATGGACACACGAAACTCCATAGGTGGCAGCAGTGCAAATCAGGGTATGTCGGGATCTGTCGGAAACCAAGGTATGTTTTATACGTAGGTAGCTAACACATAAACAATTCCGATCGCATCGAACAATAAATTCATATCCACATTAGGCAATAGCTTGCCTGTCAAAACAAAACATCATCAACAAACACCTATATGCTAATTGGCTGTATCACCTGTGTTTGTACAAAGCTCCTCGTTTCGGCCAGGTGCGAGCTGAAGAATATGCGTGATCAATTTAAAATATCAAAAAATAAAAATTCCATGACTGCTTGTGTCATTCAGGTTTTCAATGATGCGGCTGGCATACAGGTGCATGTATTCAGACAATGTGCCAACAATAATAATCGAACACTGAGAATAAGAGTTAATTTATAAAAGAATTGGACACTACATACAAAACTGGATAACTGGATTGTGTGCATTTATAAGTGTGTGACAAAATTAATTTTTAGAACGTGAAATGACATCTGCACAGGGTCAGAGTACAAACATGCCAAACAATAGCAAAACAAAACAAAACGTAACGAGTTTTTATATTGTAACAAGATGTACTTGCTGTTCCACCCTACCCTATCCATTAAAAAACCCACATGATATTGATAACTTTCAACGATCGATCGCTATATTTCGATACTATTATTAAATTGTATTGTATTAAATATACAATGTTGTCTTATTTGTTTCATGTTCTACAAACAATAACATCATGACAAAAGTACAGTCAAATTCAGTTTCTTCTCAAAATAGTTAGTATCTTTTGTCATTTTATAAAACACAAAATCACGCTGGTGATGAAGGTTAGGTTTGACGACAGGGCTTTTACAGTGTCATGTAGTTTAAACCATATTTTATTCACGTCAATTAACATGTTCAATTACAAAGGACATTTTATTTTGATGAATGGGAAACAGTTAATGTACTTATGCATAGTCTTTCCCATCGTTAATACCTAACTAAGCTGATAATACATGTATACCTTTAGAGTGATAGTGTGAAAGTACATAAAGAACTGTTACGAATAAAAGATAGAACATGGTATTATGGGAAAATTTTAAAGTAACTGATAGAGTGTTATCCTGTTGGATTGAAAGTGAATTTTACATGACACCTTCATGAAGTTAAATTCTAATTGCTGTAAATCTTTTTTTTTTAAATTGACGTTTTACAATTTAATCGCACGTGAAAGATGCATCAGCTGAGACATTATCACAGGAGGATACTATGATTGTATAGTTGTCAATATGCCATCATTACAACGAATTAGTATAAGCTTTCTTCACAACTTAAATGTGTCTATATGTTATACAGCCAGAAATGATAGGCTAGCCTCTGCCATAACAGACATGATTACATCTAACAACGCGCTTCCGTCAGACACCCACACCACTACATCCATAAAGATGACAACGAAAGGTAACACCGGTACGACACCCACATAGACAACAATGAAAATCATCCAGATTATAAATATTAAAATGAATGAAAAATAAATATTCATTACACATACTCAGTAACATTTGCTTTCAAAAATGCATGTAATGCTGTGTTCTGAAATGATTAATCTGTTATTCAAAAATATAATTTTTACGTTTTCCATTAGTAATATTCTGGAACAATTAAGAAATATGATGGTTGGCAGTTACAGGTTTAAATGCGGCTGCCATAGCAGACGCTATTGCTGCCCATAATAGAATTGGCACTGAACCGACTTTCCCAAGTGCCAACATGTTAGGTACCTCGGAACGATATATTTGTATTTTTGGATTGATTGAACTGATGTACTCTACTTTGATAGTAACATACCAAATTGTACCAGCCGGATATAATACATGATTTAATTGCGGGTGAAGTTCAATATTCATCATAATGTATTAAGCTTTAATTGGATATTATCCATGTATGTTTAATATACCTTATATACCATCAAAGTCAAAGTTCCTTCCTGTTGCATCATCTTAGATATATAATCAATATTTTGTTCATGAAATAAAGACGCTTATAATATATATGAGAAAAATATTACTACTCCGTTCTATTAAATATGTTCGTCTTGAACTTAGTCTTTGATGAATATGACTAATCGCGAGGACACAAAAGCTCCTGTTTCCCTCAAGTAAACAAATGATGACACCCCTTTGTCACCAAGTACATAAACCCTGTAATCTTTTGTAAGTAATTTCACCTATGATATACAACATTCTATCTTAACATGTCGCTATAGAATACCATTCTTTATAAAGATTATCAAATACAAGTGAACAAAAAATTGTTTAATCAAAGACCTGTAATAATTTGGTATATACGTTTTTGGGCCAAAATCTTCCATTTTGTGAAATCTGCACATCAAGGTTATCTTTGTGTAATATTCGTTTTCAATTTGTTGACAGGGGGATTGTCTGCAGCTGAACCCATCTACACCACAAACACTGGCAGTGGTGCTAATGGCGGAGCGGCACAGAACACATTAGGTACTTGTCGTCGTTAGAATGTTCCTAACTCGACCTAATTATTCACTACCAAATATTTGTAAAACACACATATGCTCCCGCGTCGATGGGAACAGAGATACAAACATAGTTTAGACAAAGAATTTGAGTTATACACAAAGTAAAACTATAGTGTAGAGAGAGAAAAAAGGTTGTTGCAATGGCCTGCATTTCTTATAACATTCTAAATAGAAAATGAAAGTTATATTTACCTTTTTTTTACACTCGTTAGAAATCCTAAAGGCGTATCTAAATATGAAGCCTGCTAATATTGGCCTGATTTGTGTTTAAATACGTAAATGTTTATTTGTCCATATCGTGTTTGGAATCTCTTCGTAAACCGATACAATCATATTTTAGTACCAATTAGTTGTAGAACGATTTCATGGTTGTAGTAACTACAATGCAACACATATAAAATAATATCATAAGGATAAATTTACACACGTATTTGATAGATATTTCATTACTTCAAAATTGTACTTATTCATAGCTGCATGCAAAATATATATTTGCTGGCGTTTCAAAATAAACACATTCTTCATCTATGAGGTCTTTTATGATCATAAAGAATTTCATCCGTTATACCTGATTTTTGATGTATATACTATCGCACTATATTTAAACTTTTAGATCAGACGTCGAGAACAGCTGCCGCTCTAACCGACATAATAACAACAGCTAATTCCCCGGCAGGTCCAAGTAAGTTAAATCTATACAGGTGCTACATTTGGGACAGTAAACTCTTTCCCCTGTTTCACAACCGGTGATTTGTGGGGGTACATGCCTTTACTTTTCTTTAGGATTTCTGGACTGTATCTGCCGTTGTTATCTTTGTTTGGAATTCGTCTTCTGCTTTGGTGTATTTTTCTATTGTACTCAAATGTATAACACTGACTAGATACTATGTTGTTAATCATGATGTCCTAACAAGTACCTAGCTGTAGCTATGTGTAAAGCGTTTAGAGATTGATAGCGAAAGCGTTGATGATTTATAGATCTATTTGTTTCTGAATTTATTTTAACTTTTCCTATATTACATTTGTGGGATTGCAAAACGTTTCACGATTCGCATTGCTCTCACGATGTGCACAAAGTACACAAAATATGCGTGATAGCTGTCGTACAGTTGTTTGATTAATATCGTGGTTGATGGATATTTAGGAAAGGCATCTTGAAAAATACAATTTCGTTTTCAAATTAACATTAATTCCTGATTTTAAATATGTTGCCATATTTCACCTAGATTAACCTGCATCTCTATTTAAATAAATAGTTATGAGCATGGCTATCACGTTCTAACATTGCTTTTAAACGACCCTAATCGACACTTGTGTACAAACGTGCTTTATCAACACGTGTGTACAAACGACTTTTATCGACACGTGTGTACACTGACCCTTATCGACTCGTGTATACAAACGGCCGTAATTGACACGTGTGTATAAACAACCCTTATCGACACGTGTGTACAACAAGCTTTAATCGACACGTGTGTATAAACAACTCATATCGACACGTGTGTGCAAACGACCTCTATTGACACGTGTGTACAAACGACCTTAATCGACACGTGTGTTTACGATGTGTAATGTAACATGTATTACATATTTGGATAGAGTTTAGATATACTGAACGGATATTGAATTTGTATACGTTTTAACCTTTCCAAACGATTATGTTTCAATTTGTAATATGAATCAATCGATCTTACCATGTCGCACATACGTGCACATTTTATCGCACAATGCGACGATCTATTTTTAAATAGGCTTATTGTGCACACACTATGCGTTCAATATGCTCACAATAATTGCAATGAATTGTGCGATCACATACTCGAACATGCATCTGTATGTTTTAATTTTAATCCAGAAAATATGCTTAAGCTTCCATAAATGTTCGCAATTACTGAATATGTTCAAAAGAATATAATATCCTACAATGATTAAATAACAACAATATTAACAATGTTTTGTTTCAGATCATTCAAATAATATGGCTTCCGTATTGGCAGATTTGATAGCCACCTCTCCCCAATATAAACAAGGAACCGGAACTGGAGGAGGTAAATTTATCTTTCTGTCTGATACAATAATTCAAGCCAAATGCTTCAAAAATTATGACAGAACACCCAGTTTCCCCTTTACCATTCCAACAGTTACCACAAAGGATTATACTACCATAAACACATTGTAACAATTAATTCACACATAGCTTCTTACAGCATTATGTTGCTGGTAATAGAATCTTGTTATAGTAGTACATGCAATTTTCAGACCATGAAATACAACGTTCTGTATCGCACATGTGCAATACGGAGTGTTGTATTTACTTACTAGCCGGAACTACTTCGTCCGCGCAATAAACTCGTGCTTTCTGATTCGTTAGAAAACCACAAGTGTGTGGTCTTGCATATGTATGCATTACGAAACTATCTACTCGTTAGTTATATCAATTTATATATTTCAGCTAATACAAACAGTCACAGAAACGTTGCATCAATGTTTGCAAGCGCGCACAGCTCGGGTACCGGTCACGAAATGGCTGGACATGGGGTCACTCATAATATGGCAGGAGCCGGAGCAAATCTAAATATGGCTGGAGGGAACCTAAACACAGTAGGATTTCGAACAAATCCCGGTAAATATTAGTTTAGTAATGCCAAACAGCATCAATTTATTACGGTTTTAAACATACATAATAATTATTGAAGTTATTATTATGATTTTTAAAAGGAAATGATTACAAGAAGTCAGTATTAAAGGATTTGCAATAATACTTTTGCAAAAAAAAAAGTATCGAATTAAGGCTTAAGTAAATTCTTGATTAAGAGAATAATGAACGATGTGGAATTACTTCTTTGTCCCATATATTTGTTACAGACGTGGTTTGGCATAAGTAAACTGTTTCGTCTGGTTTGTTTTCAGATTATAATAGGGCCGTATCTTCAACAAATGGACAAGCGACGCAAGGTAGTCCTACGCCAGTTGTATAGTGCTTAGTTCAGCTTATATAATTAAAGATATATGCTTGTATTAACACCAATTACCATCTTTTTCATTTATCATTTAATCACTCTCTCTCTAAGGATTAATATTATAATGTTGTATATACCAGCGAGTAATGTAGATAATGTTGGAAATTTAGGTCTACGTCCAAACACATATTTTCCTCCGTAAAAGACAATCTGTATTCCGTGGATGTGATTTGCTTCATGATTTGATAATTAAAGGGTGCGGCCCATCACAGTGTTTGTCAATTTATTATCATAGTAATGTTTAACCCTTCGCCAATCTAGTATATATATTTTAATTAATGGTGTATATTTCATGTAATTGCTATGCGTACACTTTATGTAAAGCATAATTAAAATAATGAAAATAAATGTTGTATGGATGTTTAAAATATTAACATACCTATACAAAGTGATCATATCACAAGGGATATAGAGAATAATGTACAATTGTCAACTAATCAACATTCGGATAACTAATTCTGCGAGCTAAAATTATAATTTTAACTAATTTAATCAATTAATAATTATGCAAACTGATGCTTGCAATAGAAAGTAATACTGACTGAGATCATATATAATAAACACTGCAAAATAATCCAGTTAACACCATAATGTATAGGCTTGCATTATTGCTTCTTATATATATACATATATCCTGACATCATACCTTGAACTAACCCAGAAACAGTAGTATATTAGTATCAGGTATACGTAGTGAATTTTGTCTTAAATAGAAAACGTATTCCTTGTTGATACTAACTAGTCATATATATATATATTATAACTTAATTATATTATTTACAAAATATATTCGTTGTTATCAAAAATGCATTTTTTTCGAATATTATATATAATTTTACTTGTATTAACGAACACCGATTTTAGAAGTGTGACGAGGTATCAGTTTCAGTCGGTACTACCAGATTAAAATCAAATCAAATAATTTGCATTACTGCAAACACTTTTCATATTTGATTATAACTTTTAGGAACCTGCCTTTAAAGCCCTTTTAAAGCGCCAAATATTTAGAACTTAAGAAAAATAAGCTAACAAACGTTTTTCGTGAAAGTTGTGCCAAAATATCCAATTCATAATCAACTTTAAAGATGGTTGTGCATCTTAACATATTCACACATTGAGGGAAATATAGTACACGTCATACCAACACTTGATACAAAAACTATTTTTAAAACGTATACAAGTATTAGGGATCCCTGTCCAGTGCACTTTGGTTTACGATATATACAGTTACATCCCTGTATGTTCATTTCGGAAATAAATGTAACTAATTCTGGCCAATATTGTTCAGTTGCGCAGATAGCTACGTACGTTTGAACGATAGTATAACATTTTGCAGTCCGAAAACATAATATGAAGGCACGGTAGCCGGGCTCGAGACCGAAGGGTTGCGTGTTCGAGGCACGGCACGGCACTGTGTTGTATCTTTGAGCAAGATAGTTTACTTCGCTTGTTCCAGTCTACTCCGCTGTAAATGAGTACGTGGTTGGGTAGTGCTAGAATTGTTGAATGCTAGCTGTTAGCGCCGAAAAGGCAGCTCCGGCTGTATGCTCCCCAGGGAGTTGAGAAAGGTATTGGCTGGTTGCAAAGGCCCTATAACCACGGAAAATAATTTGTGGACCGCTTTGAGACGACCTACGAACTAGGTTACGAAAAGGGATATATAAGAACCTCGAATTATTATTATTATTATTATAATTGCTAATGATATAAACATTTACACAATACAAATACACGTACATTTGACCAACACTCTTCAATTCTACCTTATTGAATAATTTCATTCACACAAAAATGCAGGCATATCTATCTTTTTTAAAGCAGATTTCCGGATAAGATCTCAAATTTGTTAGTACATCTCAACCGTGAAGCATACTTTGAACATTCGAAATGCCATCTAATCTTACGAATTGGAGTGAAATTGGTGCGTAAAGTTAAAAAAAATCCATGCGTGGTCAAAGAGATATTTTAACATGCTGTGAAACGCACGTTGAATTATTCAGAAAATTTATCTAGTACCCAAGTCACTCGCGGGCTCATTTTGTGTGATGATGTTGTCGTTATTCAACTGATTTAACAACGTGTACCCTAAACAACACCAAAATACATGATGGCAATATTGCACCTCGATTCAATACAAACAGGTAAAATGATCAGCAGAATATGAAGAACGGAAGCCCCCATTTAACGAATTATTTTATGGAAGCAGACAACCAAACACAGATAGCATTTAACTGCATAACCCGGCTACAGTGTACTCATCAATAATACTATAGTACTACTACTAATAATAATTCGAGGTTCTTATATACCGCTTTATCACAACCTAGATTGTAGGTCGTCTCAAAGCGGTTCACAAATTTTTATCCGTGGTTAAAGTGCCGTGGCAGCCAGCCAGTGTCTTTCTCAACTCCCTGGGGAGCATACAGCCGGAGCTGCCATTTCGGCGCTCACAGCTAGCATTCTACAATTCTAGCACTGCGCAGCCACGTACTCATTTACAGCTGAGTAGACTGAAACAAGCGGAGTAAAGTATCTTGCTCAAAGATGCAACACAGTGCCGTGACGGGAGTCGAACGCAGCGTCCTACCACTAGACTACCATCGTACAAAAGAATGAAACAACCATGAGTAAAGTATTTTGAAACATGCGTAAACAACAGCAAACGGGGAAAGATGCCGTTGGACTTGTTAATGAAATAACAAATTAACTACTTTAGGCTACAACAGGTAGTAGGTTTTCAAATAAACCGTACCAGAATAGCTTCCAGCTGCAAGGCTTTAAAACCACGGAAAATGATAAGCCCGACAGCAGATTCAACCAGTTCGTTGCGTGAAACAATCACTGGAAATACGACAAAATATATAGATCAAACAGCCACGTACAGGTTACAGCGAAACATGTCCGTCAAACCCTTAATAACGCAGCGAATCAAAGCCAAATGATTTAAGCTGAAACAAGTATGTTATGTAAACCGTCCAAGGTAAAGTTAAACTTCAAGGCTAGTACCAACATCAAAGACTGATATTTGTAGAGAAAAGTTCACAACCTTATTTCTTAAAATAATCACTAGAAAAGGAAGGGAATACTCATTTGAATATCTTGTGGTGGCGTTGTGGATTCACAAAACATGCAAATTATCTTGATCATCAACTTTACGATGGAAGGTGAACACTTGTGTTCTATGAACAGAAGCGTCTTTTTGCACAACAGTTGGAACCTATTAAATGTCGCGTCAAATCTGTGAAAAACGCAGGCACCCACATGGGCATATCCTATTACGAGAGGAGACTACAACAGGAAATTTCGGATATATCTGCTACAGTGACACCAGATTAAGACATATTTTGGCAAGGATACTTCTGATCACAATATTATATGCGATCTCATCCTCAACTACATTTGTACACTCCCACGACATATAACAATGATTTTAGATCGGTACACTAGTAAGTTTCTTCCATAGACTATTGTTATCGTAGATGAACTTTATTGTTTTTCATTCGAAGACATAATTGAAAACGTATTTTACACATATGGATTGGTAGTTAGAAAATTTCATTAAAGGAGAAGTACATATAAATGATTACCTGATATCGACACAAGCATAAGTAGTTATCCATCCAACCAACATCCATTCCGTTCCTGTTTATAAGTTGTCAACGTAGAAGAGAGAATCATGTTGTATAAAACATTGATATTCTAAGTGTGATGCTATTTAACGATGAATGTAAGATACGTACATGTGATTGCATGTAAACTATTTGGTAATAGATACATCATGACAAAAATTAATAAAACTGCACTAATCATTTATGTCGACTATTGCTGTCAATATATATTCAGTCAACCCTTTCTTTAAAGCTCACACTAAGAACAATACAAAAACGGTTCAAACAGACAGGGATATTCATGTAGATAGTTTCTTGGTAGATAGAACATTAATTTCGACAGGAATTAACATTCTGATTACTCACAGCATTTAACTAATACTATTTTGTGGTCAATGGTTGTATTATATATTAAGTAATTGATATAATATTACAATGACAAAACAATGGCTTTGTGTACATACTATATGCATTCACTTCATTTCTGGTTGATCTTTTCGTAATGCTTAACACATAACACAAAAAAGTTTAAAAAGCAACGAATCATTATACCAACTAATATAAAAAATAACACGTGCAATTGTCATCTTGCACATATAGATAAAGCTATTCCATTTTCCTATCCTATTAATGAAACAAACACATTCAATCCGTGACATTTGTAGCTTCATTCACATAACTTGAAAATATTCCGATAAGTTTATATTATCCTGTCTTTATTTGATTTCCTGATAACGGCTGTTAAGGGAAAATAAGGTCATATCAAAAATGGACTAATTAAATGTGTACAGCACAGCCTGATGCTGAGTTTACTGTTTAAATACGCTATTTTAAGAACATAAAAAGTAAAGCAATTCTTCCTACAGATACAAACAAGAACTGTTAATAGCAGAGTGTCAATGTCCGCAGACGTATTCGAACATCAAAATATGCATGCATACACAACGGAAATCGAGGATACGTCGGAACAAATAAGATACAACATCGAATCCTCAACAGCCGGAATCGAAACCAGGGCCTGTATTCATTAAACCTTTTTTACTGCTTAAAAGATGGAATCTTGTGTTAAGACAACTCTCTTGTTACTCGCTAAAATAATCTGATAGGGTCAAAGTCTTCAAAAGGGTTTGTAAGTCACCAAAAACTCTTTCTAGTCATTGATGAAGCTTTTAGTTTTATTTATAATATCAATTCAACAAGAATATAAATTGGGCTTGAGCACGGAATCTGAGTTTATGCAAAAGAACGGTTTCATGAAAACTGGCCAAGTTCGTTTCAAGTCCTGGTTACAAAGATTCGTATGCTGCATTTATAGAAAAGGAAGAGGGGGTAAACAACGTTTGTCTTAACGGCAATGACATGCTAAACCTACATATAGTGTAACATCCTAGTATTAGCTTAAAATCTTTGTTTTATAGCTACAGTATGATAACGGGTTTTAAAGTAGTGTATAACCTCTGCAAGCAGACTTTCCTAACGTATATGACAGGTGGTTTAGACAAAGTCACAAACAGACTCTGTGATGGAGCAAAAACTATGTCAAGATTTTAATTGAAAATTATCGTCCTTTCAGATTCGTTATGTATTTAAATTATTTAGAAAGAATTTATCTTTGATATCCACTTTTTTTTTTATAATTTTACTATTTTGCTCGCCATTGATATCAATACTAGGAATTTGAGACAATTGATATTTTCGAAATTTCACGACATGCTAGAAAAAGGAAAAGGATGGAAACTAAGCTAAGAAAGTTGACATAATATAAACATGGAGAAATCAATAACAAATGATAAGGGAATATTCAAGTTTTAAATATATTGATATTTCATACTACGAGGTCGTCTTCAATGCCCTTTACTACTGTTTGACTTTAGATATACATTAAGTTTAAATCTACACTATTGAAACTTCACAATTCCAGGATCGTTGATTAGATTGAAATAATAGAAACATGCGTGTTTTACAAATCTGATAGTTCTTGTTTATTTTTTACATACATTTCCATTTAGTTTTTCAAAGCCGTTTCACTCACGATAACATGTTTTCTTGCATAATTTTGACCAAAGTAATTTCATTATGAATCAATATCCAAATGAACAATGGAAAGAATTACCCGATGTAAAAGTTTAAACGAAGATGACATTTCCATTTACTATATCTCTTACATGTGAATGTGTAGGTTGACATTGATACATAATACATTTTATGATAAACACAGTCTCCATCACAAATGTTACAGTAATCAAGACTTCAATATGTTCACGCGCAAGAACGTCTACAATGAATTGTACTTTACCCAGTATAAAATGGAACCATTGTAGAAATTAATTTTCTCCGTTTCCCATTGCTATTGAAATATAGTTTTTCAGATTAAACGATATCTGTTGTATATTGTTGTATAAAATATAATGCAATAAATGTACCACGGAAGTTACATCGAAACCAATGAGACTAAGCTATTTTAAATTTTAAACAACAGAAAACCAGTTAAATATTGAATACACATGACCTTTCAGAATTGTGACATAATGAGAAAATTATATTATTTGGTAGATAGTGTATATCTTATCCTGGTTAAACGTCGACTGGTGGAGTTAGATAGGAAGAATACCGTGTCCATTGTTCTATGTAGCGCATAACATGGATTACTGTCCAGGGGATTACGCCTACAAAGTAGATAATCATTGGTCCTTATCCTACGTAGGGCAGCATCAAATTTCGATATCGATGAGGAGACCATTTGGATAGTACAAATATCTTGGTATATGTTTCCGTTTTTTTGCAATAATTATTTACATTAAATTAAGTACATTCAATTAAGCAAGCATAAATGTCAAACTCCCTCCCTAAGGCTTAATAACGTAACAAACACATAAACAATAGGTATTACATTTAACCACCTACATTATTAACATTTACATTAAAACGGTATCTGGCATGGATTTGAGGAGGAAATATTTTATTAATGAATGGTCCCATAGTATGAATTGTGATGAAAACAGGTGTCAACCTCCCTGCGCCTCCAGCCCAGACACTACTTCATGTGTCCAACCAACCACTCGACTTCCAGGTGTTGTCTGGTAGTCAAGCGTCCTCGGGATCAGGAGGGACTCCTGCCTCGGTTGAAGTCATCTTGCCACACAGTAGCATTGCAAATCAAGGTAATCACCTTTGCCATATGACTTCAAAATAGTAAGAGTGAATATATCTTGTGATAACGTCGATTATCCTAACATGATATGTACCAAGGTAATGGTAAAGCTATGCATCACAATGACTATATTGGTATTTAGTTAACACCAACATCATTCCTACATAATACAATTAATTTATTTAAAAACAAAAAGTTAGATGATGACGAAAAAATACTACTGCTGCCTAGCTGATGTATAGACTTCATTACAGCCTAATTGTAAGTTTTATTTCATATTTCATGCTTTTGTCATTCATATCGAATACTCGTAACTGCATTTCAACTCTCACCTAGTGCCGATAGGTCGCTAGCGTTTTAAGCATTGCTATATTTTAACGTTAGGGTTTTGTTTATAATATGAAATTCAGAATAAAAAGGACAATTACACAATTTCAATAGGCAACTTACATGTGTTATGCGTACCTATTGCAGCTTTCAACTTCCCAATAACTGCAACATCCGAAAAGGTCCAAGGGGGTTCATCACCAGGTAGGATTTATAAAGTAAATGACAAAGTTCAGAAATGTAAACTCGTTGGTTCACAAATGGCACGTGTTGACATTCCATATTTTATCAGTAGTACAGTAATATATACAGATTGTAAGCTGTATATTGATTTGAAGTTCCTGGTATAATAGTCATGCAAGATATTAATCTGGTTCGAAAAATCTTGATATAATTATATTAATTCAATGATACACTTCAAAGACAACACGCTTGAGTGACCATTCGCCAAATACCATAATGTCTATCAAATAGAAAAAAAATATAAATACCTCTAATAGTGGCTATATGATCCATGGAAGTGTACATTTGCTCTAGCTAGCTAGGTAAATAAATGATATTCATAACTCTAGACGAATTCCGTTAACATATTATAAACGCAAATATAGATACATACATATCTGATCTTTGACAGTTCCACATAGTCTGCATTCATGTTTCATAAAAGTTTCGTTTCCTATCTGATTTATTATACTCTAAACTTCTTCGGGACACACCTTTCTCCTCAGCCCAAATATTTAGTGCAGCTCGGTTTCTGCTCTTATCATGACCTTGTTTACATGGTAACCATAATTATTGAAATCAGGAATAATCAGTTTATGCCAAACGTTAACGTTTCTATAAATTGGTATTTTTTACTTACAATGACAGCATCTTCAGGACTTCAAAACGACATGCTTATAAGTATTGCGGAGTTATCGGGGAAATTGATCAACTCTCAGCCAGGTCTTGTTGAACCCAATGGATCTATCAAGGTCACAACAGGTAGGGGAATCAATCACACTAATATCAAGGTCACAACAGGTAGGGGAATCAATCACACTTTACTTTTTAACAGCACCTGAATTGCCATTATGGTTTCTGTATCAAACGTGTAGGCTTAATCGCGATAAACATTGGTTTGATGGTAACAGCTGAAAATACTGAGATGTTTTGATTTTTCTCGCACGTTAAAAGACGCATCGGGGTTCATACACGACCAGAAGTCCAAAGTTGTATATCCCGTGTCTCATTACAGGTCAATTGAAGTAAAATGAGAAGACTATAGTCGCTCTGACAGACGCTTGCTTCACACCTGAACTGGACATAACGTTGACTTTAAGTTTCTAGGCGACATGTACGATACCTTTCTCTCGGCTATCACACTCAAATGGTTAATGTATTCACATAATTTACTTACAGGTATATGTGTAACGCCTGACTGCATCCGCGCAGGTAAGCAAGTGTAAAGTAATAATATGTCACAATTAATTAGCGTTGTATGAGTTTGTACAAGTATCAAAGTGTTCAGGATATGTGCTATGTTTGTTTTGTGGCAAGAGAAAATAATGATGAAATGTTTTTTATCCTTGAAGCTAGTAGTTTCAGTCAACACAAACAGTATTATGATTGTCGGCCTTTCCGTATATCCACCAATGATATTATGTTGTCTGCTAAATATAAGACTATAGCATCGTTCACTTTGTCTTACATGTTATCTAAACTGTATCTATGTGTCTAAGGAACCTAAACAAACGATGTCTGGTCTAATAACAAACTATATAATGGCTTCATAATATTATAATTGCTATTTTGACTCTCTGAACTACTTTATTATGTAGTGTAATTAATTTCTTAATACTGCATCTGTTACCAAATTTTATAGGAACAATCGAATGTTTGTTTTCCATGAACTTGAAAACAGGAGCTATCGGCTCTTTTGAATAGTGACTACGTTCAAATAATAAATATATATATTCTTATTTCTATTTTAAAATTGACCTACTAAAATTATATTGAAATTCATACAATGAATAGGTTTTACGACAGCAGCTACCGTAAGACAAACCTTTATTTGCAACTATTTACCTCTTAGCATCACTGTTGAGTCCTAGAAGGACAAAACAGCTGTATTGTGAAACGTAATTCATTTTTGTTGCATACTGTATCTATAACAATAAGTATAACAACGCATGTGTCTTACATTTATTATAATAATGTGTGTTGTATTGTCTCCCTGTTACAGCCACCGAAATAAAAGCGAGTCGGGATCTCACTGCTAATCCGTGCGAAGACTTTTACCAATACACGTGTGGAGGCTGGCTAGACAACAGTCCTATCCGGCCCGACCAGCACAGCAGGAGTATCAAGTGGGACGTAATGGAGAGTGTGGACGAAAAACTTCACAGTCAGTTTTTTAAATATTACACTATAAAACAAATTATTAAACATAGTTATCCCCCCTTGTTTAGAGCCACACATCGATTTAATGTTACATCTTCCTCCGGTAAGATAACAAAAACACCATTTTGTGAGGAAACATTTAACCACATACCAGAAATAATACTTATCTGTTTATACAGAAAATGTGATGCATGCATCTAAATGAGACTTTTGAATGAGAATATTTTTTTTTTGTCTAGATAGAACACAATATTTCTAGTAATTGTTCCTACTCCCGGTTCAAAAATAAATAAATAAAAATAATGTTCAATGAACTCCATTCTTCAGAGCTACTAAACCAGTCGGTAGAAGTGAAGCATACACAAGCTGAACAGAAAGCTATCACGTTCTACAAGTCATGTATAAATGAAGGTAAGAGTACTTGAATAAAAAATAAACATCAAGAAAATCATTGATTAGTGGCTAAAATTAATCTTGACCAAGGTTTTCGGTTGCGTTGTTTTCATGGTTTCGTTTGCGATATGGTATCTTGGTGACGTCAACACGACTTCGTACTATGAACGACATATAACATTATAAGATAACAATTTCAAAACTGGAAATGAATCACGCGCCAATTCTATGTTACCCATACTTTACAAAAACAACGCTATAGAAATTCCAAATAGAATGCTGGTACAATTCTTCTTGAAATTCATGAGCTTCATATGATGAAGAGAGATAATATACATAAAAAGTCAATAGACTATCAATCGTTTTTTCAATATTTTGCTGCTGATGTTTAATTATATTTTATTGAAATATTAAAAAACAGGTTTTGGTTTTTATATATTACCAACGAATTTTATTTTCCACAAATTCATCAGAAAATCTAATATTGAATCCGATGCAAAACAACGTTACTCACAATGTGTTTTGTAGATGCGATCGAAACATTAGGTCTGACAGTCATTAAGCCCTTGTTAAACGATTTGGGTGGTTGGCCGCTGCTGGAATTGAATGTGGCAGGCCGTCATTTCAAGCTTGAGAGCGTGCTGTCTACTGCCAGAAAATATACCGTGGACACGCCCATATTTGTCATGGCCATTGAGACCGACCCAACCTTTCCCGAACAAAACATCATACACGTAAGCGTTACACTGATTGTGAACAGACTACTTTTGATCGCGCACCATACCGCCCGACACGCGCCATATCTGCCGGGCATGCTCCTTATCTGCCGGGCATGCTCCATATCTGCCGGGCATGCTCCATATCTGCACTACATGCGCAATATCCCATTTACTTCAAGTTCCACAAATATTGAAAATCACGTTTTACTTACACTCGATTTGTATTATTGCCAATAAGCTTGATGTTTACTTTTATATAAGTAATCTGTAGTATGCGATCAAAAGGTTTTCATACGACCATTTTCATATCCTACCCTACGTCACCCTTAACACATATAAGCCCTTGAAATTATCCTACAAAAGCTTTTTACTTATTGTCGAGAAAAACAATTCTCAAATTGACAATTACTATCCGACAAACATGTGTTACAAATATAAGAACGAATTGCACATTCCATTGGCGCGGTAAATTTTAATATAATATTAAAAAGTAGACTACAAAATAAATATTATAAAAATTAATGATATAATAAAGTTGATAAAATATCATATACTGTATTTCAGATCGAACAGCCACATCTTGGTATGCCAGACCGGACGTACTATCTAACGGACAACAAGGTGTACTCGGCGTACGTTAATAACATGCTTGAGGTAGTCAAGGCGCTTGGCGCGGACCCTTTGACTGCCGCTCAGGATGTCAAGGATGTGATCAACTTCGAGACAAAACTAGCTAATGTAGGTATACAACTATTTGGTATATTTGTGTGCTGTAATTATTTAGGTTTTGTTTAACTCTTGTGTGCTGTAAATGGGCTACGTATCTTTATACAGTTCTATATGTATTCTGTGAATAAATGATGCAGGTATCCCGTAGATAATGATAGTAAACTGTAAATGACTAATATATACTGTAGACAATGTATGTATGATGTTTTTATATATTTATAATAATAAATAGTTACTTTATACATTAAATAATGTTAATGTAACAAGGTAAACAGTAGAAATGCGTGTTTTTTAACCTACAAATTAATTAATTCGTTTCAAACAATGCAGATATATGCATGTCGTAAACTGATGACATTTCTATACAGTAGAACATGCACCGGTACTGCTATTGGCCGGCTAAGGTATAGAATAGACAGTGCATGCAATCTACACCGATACTGTTATTGGCCGGCTAAGGTATAGATAGGCAGTACATGCATTCTACACCGATACTGTTATTGGCCGGCTAAGGTATTGTATAGACAATGCATGTATTCTACACCGATACTGTTATTGGCCGGCTAAGGTATAGAATAGGCAGTGCATGCATTCTACACCGATACTGTTATTGGCCGGCTAAGGTATAGAATAGACAGTGCATGTATTCTACACCGGTACTGTTATTGGCCGGCTAAGGTATAGAACAGACAGTGCATGTATTCTACACCGGTACTGTTATTGGCCGGCTAAGGTATAGAATAGGCAGTGCATGTATTCTACACCGATACTGTTATTGACCGGCTAAGGTATAGAACAGACAGTGCATGTATTCTACACCGGTACTGTTATTGGCCGGCTAAGGTATAGAATAGGCAGTGCATACATTCTACACCGATACTGTTATTGGCCGGCTAAGGTATATAAGAGACAGTGCATGTATTCTACACCGCTACTGTTATTGGCCGGCTAAGGTATAGAACAGACAGTGCATGTATTCTACACCGATACTGTTATTGGTCGGCTAAGGTCTAGAATAGACAGTGCATGTATTCTACACCGATACTGTTATTGGCCGGTTAAGGTATAGAACAGACAGTACATGTATTCTACACCGATACTGTTATTGACCGGCTGAGGTATAGAATAGACAGTGCATGTATTCTACACCGATACTGTTATTGGCCGGCTAAGGTATAGAATAGAAAGTGCATGTATTCTACACCGGTACTGTTATTGGCCGGCTAAGGTATAAAACAGACAGTGCATGTATTCTACACCGATCCTGTTATTGGCCGGTTAAGGTATAGAACAGACAGTACCTGTATTCTACACCGATACTGTTATTGACCGGCTAAGGTATAGAACAGACAGGGCATGTATTCTACACCGGTACTGTTATTGGCCGGCTAAGGGATCGAATAGACAGTGCATGTATTCTACACCGATGACAGTGCATGTATTCTACACCGATACTGGTATTGGCCGGTTAAGGTATAGAACAGACAGGGCATGTATTCTACACCGGTACTGTTATTGGCCGGCTAAGGTATCGAAGAGACAGTGCATGTATTCTACACCGATACTGGTATTGGCCGGTTAAGGTATAGAACAGACAGTACCTGTATTCTACACCGATACTGTTATTGACCGGCTAAGGTATAGAACAGACAGGGCATGTATTCTACACCGGTACTGTTATTGGCCGGCTAAGGGATCGAATAGACAGTGCATGTATTCTACACCGACACTGTTATTGGCCGGCTAAGGTATAGAATAGAAAGTGCATGTATTCTACACCGGTACTGTTATTGGCCGGCTAAGGTATAATTCAGACAGTGCATGTATTATACACCGATACTGTTATTGGCCGGCTCAGGTATAGAATAGACAGTGCATGTATTCTATACCGATACTGTTATTGACGGCTAAGGTATAGAACAGACAGTGCATGTATTCTACACCGATACTGTTATTGACGGCTAAGGTATAGACTAGACAGTGCATGTACTCTACACTGATACTGTTATTGGCCGGCTAAGGTATAGAACAGACAGTGCATGTATTCTGTAAACTATTAATGCACATTGTAGTTATACCGTAGAATATAGATATAAATGTCTTTAGTTTTGAAATATCTAGGTTTCCGACTTCAGATTTGTCTAAAACGTATAAATTACTATTAAAGTTAACACAGGAAGTAGACCAAAACCAGGATCCAAGCCCTGATAGAAGAATGACAATAGACCAACTGATGCAGACGTTCCCTGGGGTAGGTCATACTGTAACGGTTCATGTGTGAGCATTTTATTTATCGTTATCCATATCAAGTAAGACCAGTTGAAATGTTACCGTTGATCAATCAATTTCATAGGCAATCAACAAAATGGTAGCGGAAAGGGTTTGCTTTCGAATTATTTCAAAATCACCCTGCTATTATCAGAAAAGTTTTCTTTGTTTTGTACTGCAAAACATTTTACCAGAACAAAACTAAAATAAGTATTAAGGACAGGCCGTAGTATATACATTGCAAGTGAAACATCAGCACAAACATGTCTCATCGTAGGAACACGTGGGGCGTGTTAGAATGGTCGCAGTACATCTTACAATTCTCTTTATAAACAATGTGTCCTACAACTCGTGTTACCATTTACATTTCAGCAATATCATTAATGTTTTCATTGCTTTCCATTATAACAAAAGTAATAACTATTTAAAGCTGGATTGGAAGCAATACATCTACAACATATTTAGCAGCGATCAAGTCCGAATCCCCATCCACTCCAATGACCTTGTTCTAATTAGTAACCCAGAATACATTCGTGACGTCATCGGTCTTCTCCGGAATACTTCCGCCCGGTGAGTATTGCTAATAAAGACGTACGCTTAACAAATGGAATACCTCATCCTTCTAACTCACTTAAGCATTTATGGAAACTGTACTAAGTAAATACAAGGAGAGCCCAAACCATTGATCTTTGTTTCTTTTAAAATTTAAGTATTTATCGTAAAACATTGTTTCCCTTTCTTCATTGAAATTAACTTATAATCATAAAGACCACTTTAGAACGTCGACATAAGTCAATGAATAAATAACAAAAGTCAATCAATAAATAAGAAAACAATATGAGAGTGAAAATATAGTTTAGGTACATTAATACCGATGGCTTATGCTCTTGATCGGGATATGCTTTCATTGTAATTGAATTACACATGTTTTCCATCAAACTGCTTCAGTTCCTCGCATACCGTTTTGTATATTGAAAATTATTAGATGAATACGTGTACTTTCAGAGTGGCGGCTAATTACATTAATTGGATGATGGTACAGAGTCTGATATTATCATTACCTGCGAACATTAGACAACTCCATCAGTCGTATACAAAGGTAACTGTCACAGATGAGATTTAAAACCAATCCATTCTAAAACTGATAATTAGATTCACGCACATCTAAATGAGAAGAAACCAGCGTGTTTTATTAAATTTTATAGCGTTTATTATATATGTTTGAACCCAAAGAATTTTCGTTTGTAACGTGTAGGCAATAGAGTCTGTTTATGAAATGAGTCTTAAAGAAGAAAACAATTTATCATTATATGAACACATTAAACTAGATATTTACAAGATTGACCTCAGTGGTGTAAAGACAGCAAAATGAGACGGTATCGTTCCCTTACTCGTTATTTACTTTTATATGATTTGACTATCTATGATCTTATTTTGCTAAGCACTCATTAAAAATAGCCCTTGACCCCATCTTCGTTTTGTACTATAAAGATGGTACCGGAAGCTAAGGGCGACCTCCCGCGATGGCAGCAGTGTGTTGAAGCCACCAACAAGGTTCTTGGTCTGGCTGTCGCTCGTCTGTTTGTGGACAAGCACTTCGACTCCGCATCAAAACAGGAGGCATGTTTTAGCATATATCATATCACCCTATCATATCGCAGGGTTGTGTATATACATGTAAATAATTTGTACGTGTAAAAGCTATGTTTAATCTAGTATATCATTTTCATTAGATTTCCTTGTGCACATATATATCATGGGTTCGACATATCCTGTTACATCAGTGTAAGCTTTCAAAATGAACAATGAGCAGAATTTTGTTATGAAGACGGTCTTTTGTTAACGTCTAGAATCAACATATATTGATGTTTGAGACGACGGACGAATGGGCACATCGATTCCTCTTTGATCATCCTATTGTTTTATATGTTTCTGAAGTGAGCTAAATAATTTTCACATTGATATACGACAAAATAATTGATGTGTTTCTGTCAGGTTGTTTTCATACGTATGAAATTTACCTACACATATATTTGTTAAAAAATACATATCATGTAATTACAACTATTCTTGTTTCTGAAGAAAACACATTTTAAGTAATACCGTATATGATTGCATCAATACTGTCCAATAACTTATTGTTCATTATCAGGTTCTGGACATGTTTGCTAAAACAAAATCATCGATGCGCAGTATGCTAGAACGAGAGTCGTGGATGGACCTAGCCACCAAAACTGCTGCTTTAGAGAAGGTAGTTGTGACATGGCATTTAATTGTACACGGCTTCACACACGAACTCAAGTTATTAGTTTAAATGAATATTATAAACCTTCATACAATGTACTAGAATAATGATACCAAGCTTATATTTGTAAATTTAATCATATAAATAATTTAAATGAATATCATGTGTGCAAAATATCACATTTAAAAAAATATTAAACCAGACATGAACATAATAAAGTAAACTCCATCAAGATCCTTTCCGTAAGCAAATAGTATTCTGCATTTTGAGGGGTATGTATCTTTGCATCGTAAAATAACGCAAACAGTTCTACTTCGAGTTACTTACTATTTTCATTTCTCATTTTTCTTCTTAAAGGAAAGAGACCTTTTACACGTTTCTCCTAATTCTGTACCTACGATGTTTCTCCTAATTCTGTACCTACGATGTTTCTCCTAATTTTGTACCTACGATGTTTCTCCTAATTCTGTACCTACGATGTTTCTCCTAATTCTGTACCTACGATGTTTCTTATAATTCTGTACCTACAGTGGTTTCTCATAATTCTGTGCCTACAGTGGTTTCTCATAATTCTGTGCCTACAGTGGTTTCTCATGATTCTATGCCTAAAGTGGTTTCTCATAATTCTGACCAACAGTGGTATCGACATATTTTATAACCTGAAGGCACTCATTACCTAAACTTAATTTCTAAATTTCCAAATATAGAAGGAAGGAAGTTTTACATTAATTACCGCATGCTGCGAAGTCTACAACGAAAACGTAATTTCAATGCAGATGTTATTATTATCAAATTGCTTTTCCTAGAAACATTTGTAACTTATAATTAGATGACGAAAAAATTACGAAATCGGTTTAATATTTGGTTCACAATTTCACAATTTGTTAAAGCAAGCGAAAATGAAATGAAAGAGCCACCCGTAATTTCATATAAGACGACATCTTATATAAAAGTATGTTTGTTTCTTTACAGTTAGACGCTCTGCAGGCCAGGATAGGATACCCAGAGGAGATAAAAGACATCGCTTATCTGAACAAACGTTACAATAGAGTGAGTAAACAAGTTTCCCTAAGTCCATCTCACTCGATAATCTAGTATTATGAAATACCTATCCAAACAGTGCTATTCATTTTCTTTTCATCACTAGGTTTTGGAAACATTTGTAAATAAGCGACCACAAAAGAACAAAATGAAGTTTTGCTCATACGTACGTACAACTATTTCTCCAGAATTAAAACTCATATGAACATTTTAAGCAAAGATGTGACATTTGTGTATTTCTATTATTTTTGCTTTTTTTGTAGGTTAGTGTGACTCCGGATTTATTTTTCCAAAATAATTTAAATATTATGAAAGACGAGGCGGTAGATAACTTACGAGATATGGCCATGCCTAGTAACTTAACAGAGTAAGTATAACTGTCTATAATATGGCTCAATATACCAAAATATATATGCGATGGAATAATTACATTGTATTTAGATGCTTTGTAAAATCGTGGGCTCAGATATGGTAGACTAGTCTAAGATACCTTATGATATACCAAATCACAACTAGATTTTGAAAACCTTAATTATTGCTGGAAATACGGAATATGTATGGCGTTCATAAATTGAGCTCCTCAATAAATAGATAAAGCATGGCCTTACAACGTTTGCAACAATGATTACAAGGCTGCTTTGATGTTCAAATAATTTTATCAAAACCGCGATGACAAGTTTCGAATTACCGTAAAAGTTCTTAAACCGATGTATCATGAAATGGCACCAATTTTTCCGACATGTTCCATTCTGAATCAATTATGCCGAATGAATAATTATGTATTCATGCACGTGCTTAACAAACATCAGTATCAAATGATATTGTTATAAGTCTAATGAATACTCTCTATTTTATAGATGGGAATCCCCACCACCTGCTGCGAAAGACATACTTTATGAATTAGATCACAACGTAATAGGTAATGTCGATAGTCATCCATCTGTTGATCAATCGAACATTGCTTTCAATTTATTTTCTATAATACTGTTGAGTTTTGATTTCTTGAAATGTTATTTTAGCGAGATTGGTATCCTTCTCTTAACAAGTATCCTGTACACTGTATGCATAGTACATTTTGTATGAGGAAAAGGGAAAACGAGTCTATTCTGTCTTTGCGTATTGCAGAGTTATCTTCTCTTCGGAGCAGGTATTGATTGTTATGTCATTGATCTGTGTGAGAAAATTACGTCGTTTTGTCAAAAAATGATGACGTTACTCTCACAAACAAGTGACGTAACAATCAATACCTGCTCCCAAGAGCAGATAACTCTGCAATACGCAAAGACGGAATATTGCCCCTTAATGCCAATTGCTTTATATTGCTAATAAGTCACCTTCGCGTTTATTTGTCCTCCATGACTTCGAATTTGAGGGTGAATTTGAAAAACGAAAGTCATACCTGTCATAGGAATGCGACATTTGCCTACCTGTATTACAAGAATCATGTAAATTAGTTAGTTCATAAGTATACACTATTGTAGCATATGTTAAATAATATATACAGCGAAATATGTTCATTCAGATAAGAAATGATTTCAAATACAGATGTTATGAGTATATTGATAACTTAATTAAATGTACAATACAAGTTATTTAAAGTGTTTTTTTAACCAAAGAATTTGAAATTGAACCATTACATTTATACAATAATTTGTTTCAGTGTTGCCTGCAGGGGTATTGCAATCACCATACTTCCATAAAGATTATCCAAGGTATGAGTCAACATCGAAATGTAGAAAGTAGACGAAAGTGTATAGGTATTGAATCTACATGGTTCATCCTTTGTGACTGGGCTTTCACGTCCCCGCAGCATCCGGGGTCAAACGCTGATGCAACTGTCTGGCTGCTGAATCGAAATCAATCAGCTGTCACCGTGTGGTTTCGTGGGGGAGGAGATCATCAATGAAGAAATTTATAGAATTTTGTGACACATTTTTATCTGACAAAGTTACATATTATAAAAAGTTGTTATCTAAAAACTGCGATTAATAACATGTATAATCCTTAATTTGATATACTTCAAACTGCCAACAATAGATGCATGTACGAAAAATGTAGAGTAATGGAACAATTTGAATACATAATTAGTTAAAAAATATATTGCATTTCATAAAGAGTAATGAATCAACTATTTTATTATACAATTAAAAGTTTAATTCTTGAATCTTTTAAGCATTAAAGTTCACGCCCTTCTCAGACATTAATACGCATGTTTTGATTGTAGATATCTAAATTATGGCGCTATCGGATTTATCATCGGACATAAGATAACACATGCATTTGATGACGTTGGTAAGTGAGAATGAACACATAAACATGTTTTTTCACTGTGACAAGGATATATGTTATATGTAATGATTTGCTTTTTGCAGCTGTTTCCATTTCGAAAATTGAAATAATGACATATTTAGAAAGGTACAAGAGATGACAGTTTAAGGTGGCTCGACACATCGTCATCAGCGTCCATTTTCGTGACGTACTTCCGGAAAAAGTACAGCTCAGACTCAATTATCTTGATCGAAATGTGCATGTACACCGTCTCGTCATTTCCGTTTTGCGTATCGGGTATTCAAGATCGTAGTGCAAATAATAGTAACGCCTGGGCCGTTTGCGTTTAAACGGTCAAACCGATCGGACCACTGTTGTTCGTTTATTAAATAAGGTAGGACCTAGTTATCTGATGCTGCTTTCAGGCGAGCCTTGAGAAAGCCGTGCAAGGCTTGCATACACATTTGTAGGTCCGCCAGGATTTATACCCGGAATTGTTACATTTATAAACGGTCAAACCGGTTGTTCCGCATAAACGAACAGGCCCCTGGTAAACAATAGTACACGTGCGTGCCGATGATATGTCAACACCCGATATCGAGATTTTACCGGGAAATGTATAACCACACGTACTTCAGGAATAAAGCTTTCCAATTCATTGACATAAACAGACTCACGGGAAGACAGTGACATGAGACCAGACGACCTCAAGAAGGACATATAGGAAACACATGGAATGCGGACGTACCAACCTCATATGTGCATATCACGTGCTTCCACTAGTTCATAAGCTGAGGGAGTTTCGCTCTGTCGATTAAATCGTGTTTACAAATGTAGTCTACTTACTCTGTGAAAATAATGTTTTGTAAAATATCAAGATACCTATGAAATGCATGTGTGAGGGCACGTGAGAACGGCATACCATGCGATAGCCTCTGGTCACATATGTACCTGACATGTAATTATAAATATACCGTGAGTTAGCGGACTGTGGAATGATGTCCAAAGTGTACATGACTGAGGGTAATTTGGTTCCATTAAAGAACAATAAATTGATAATTTTGATATCATATTTTTGATTTATTTCCGTCATTTGTTATATGTAAACAGAGACAACTGTCATTGTGTAAATGTCATCCCTCTGCAAAAAGTTCCGATTTTTTTCAAGGAAGATAACTCTCACCCGGATCAAAGTGATTGTATAATGTAAAATAAATTAATTATAAAGCCATTGTGTATATTTTGTTCAATTTCCCACTCTATATGTATAGATCTGTGTGTCCTGTTTGCTTTTAGCTTGTAGATATTCACTTTTATCCGTTCAAATTCAATAAAAAACACTTTATGTAACATGTGTTACATATTTTGCGATAAATAAAATATTTGTAGGATTAATTATTAATGCTTCTTTTCATTTTTTTATTGTTTTTATTGTTCCGAACAATGCCACACACAAAAAAAAACGGGAAATATTAAAAGTGGCGAAAATTCAATTTTTTGGTATTTTTTCCAAAAAATTCCCCAAACTATCGGAATGTTTAGATTTTCATAAAATTAACTCTACATAGTTGCATAACCATTATATGAAAGTTTCAACGAATTTTGCTGGTTAATTGCGAAAGTGTGGAGCCACCTTAATTAATTGAGTTGTTTTATTTTGCTAATTAAAATAAAATAATATAAAGGAGGTTCCTCTAATACTTTAAAATGTTCCTGGTTCCTATCTATCGCATTTCATAGATAAGATAAGGTGAATTGGTTACAAATCGCTATCTTTTTTGTGTTTTTAGTTGATAATAAACATAAATAGTTATCATTCCTTTCACATAGGGAGCAGATATAGTAAGACAGGTAAATTCGAGGACTGGTGGTCCAACTATACAAGGAACGCGTACGGACAGAAGGCAGAATGTTTCATCAAACAGTACGACGGACTCACTGTTACGGATGCCCTGTCGGCTGCCACCTTGCCAGAGGACAGCAAGGTAGTTTTAGTTACACTGTATCAATATGATGGTATACATGCTCACATTTGGGTCCCGTTTTATTGAAAGGGAGTATTTTCTTTGTTACTTTTTAATCACCGCAACAAATTCGAATGATCTTACGACGCCATTTATCTCAATGATTTCTGCATATCCTGTATCAAAACCTTCATGTATCTATATTACCCAAACAGCATCTCATATTACGACGACAACAAGAGCTAAATCATCGACATACCTGCTTATGTTTTCATACATTCAAGCTCAGGATTCGAAATAAAATAGAAAAACATAAATTGTCGTGCTTAACTCGTCCTAACACCATGAGTGTGAAGTGATTCTCAAACATGTATCGTAACCTTATAATATTTGCTGATTTTTATTGACATGACATTAAAGAGGTTACGTCTTACACTCCATGTTGTTTTTCAAGAGTGTCCATGGATACTTAAAATAAATTAAGCAAATCATATGAAGAAGTAAATTAGTTAATACAAAATAAACGCATAAGGAACTAAAGAGATTCCAAAACAAAAGAGAGAACACCATTTTAATTAATGATGTTTCTCTTAAAAAATTATTATAGTTTCTAACAACCTCCTTACCTCATTAACTTTAAATCCTCTATGATATTGTTTTTCAAATCTTGTTTAACTTTTATAGTTAAATGGGAAGTTGACGTTACAAGAAAACATTGCCGATAACGGAGGACTGAAAGAAAGCTTCACGGTACTTATCCACAATATGTCATATTCTGTAGCTCTAGATAATACTCACTTAACTTTGTAATAAACAATACAATGTGATTATGTTCTGTAGATCAAGGTGCTATTAATATAAGTCGAGTTGTTCAACGCCTGGGCCCGTGTTCATAAAACCGTTCTCATGCACAAGCTTGAATTCTGTGCTGAAACCAACTTTCTTGTAACTCGCTTCATTCATGTCAAATGATCAAAAAGTCAAATGTAAACATTGAAAACAGTTTTCGGTTTATACTTCTCTTCAAGGTTTTTTCTAAATCATTGACAAAATAAGGTGGGGGTTTTTGGTGGTTTTTTTGGCAGGAACAAGAAATTCTGCTTGAGTACTTCAATACTTGACCATAAAAACGGTTTCATGAATATGGGCCCTGGTTATATAAGTTAATGATAGCTATTTTTATTTTCTAGTAATTGTAATTCTGCATTAGTGTAGAGTTATTGGATCGAAGAGCAAATATTGCATGCATGTTAATGTCATAATTACTGATGTAATGAGCTTTATTGTGATGACTAGGCGTATACTCAATGGGCGAAGCAACATGGACTGGAACAGAAACTTCCGGGACTTAATTTAGAACCTGATCAACTGTTTTTCGTCAATTATGGACGCGTATGTATCATTTAAACTGCTATAATACTGCGAATAATATTAAATTGATTTAGGTGAGAGCCCTGAAGATTCTGAAAAAAATGTGTAATGAAACTCATATAAACAAATTAGAACTAATCCTGACACTCACTTCACGATGTTAGATAAATTATTTCAAATTCATTCCATGTAAGAATCATAAGTTTGATAATATGCATGCATCATCATTTTAATGTCCCCCAAAATTTCGATATGTATCGTCGCCCTTTCGACTTGCGAATCCTTCCGTGGAAAACGATCAAGATATCTTTTTCGTTTCGTCACAATGTACGGCTAGGAAAATGTTTACTCATACACTGGTTGATAAAGTCGGTCTTGAAATACCACAAATGTTGCCGCACGTTTACACGTATATTATGTGTGTGTATAAAGCCAGCCATATTTATTTGGCGTAATTGTAAATTCCCTATACAGCAGTAAATTAATACACTCAACCTTGATTTGATGTATGACGTATACTCTCTAATATTTTTTTTTTTTTTCACAAAGACTTGGTGCGGGAAGACAACTCCACAAGAGGCGATACGACGAATCCAGACTGACATTTGGGCAGACGCTAAGAACAGGTAAAATAGGATAAAAAAACCCCAAGTAAAGCTAAAAGTCGGGCAAAAATAGCAGGGAAGGCTGAAAGTCCGACACAAAGAGCAGGTATGGGTTAAAAGTTTGACGAATATAGCAGATTAGGCTCCAGGGCGAGCGCAATGAGCAGTTACGGGTTGGAAGCCTGCCGCAACTAATAGTTATGGAGTGATAGTCTGACGAAATAGAAGGTACGGCAAATCTATGAATATATGTATATATATTAATAATAGGTATGGATCAATGCTTAATGCAGAGACAAAAGAATGAGACAAGGTTCAAAGTAGGAAAGAACTTTTTGTTACCAATCATTTATGTCATTTTCATTAATGCTGGTGGAATTCATATATGCAGCAGTAAGGATATTACGATAATTTGAAAAAATAAACCATATGAGTGATCCTTTGCAATTGAATTTTTTAAAACCTTATTGTCAATCCAATAACATTAAATAATTGTTTCTTATTGCAGAATAAATACTGTGGTGCAAAACAATCCAAGCTTTTCCAAAGCGTTTTCGTGTCCTGTGGGGTCTCCTATGAATCCAGCAAAGAAATGTGCAGTCTGGTGATATTCGTCTAAATAGACAATCGGATTGTCATCAATGTAAAAACATTAACCCATCGTATGGCACTTCATTTATTTGTGTTTCTGGCTATTATGATGCCGTACTGCTGCAGAACCTTTTATAGAAAATAGTTCCACTCATAGAAACATGACAAGACTTATTATAAATGATAAATTAAAGGTTAAAACCACCGATCGCATTTTAAAGATGCTTAAGAATGAATGCATTACCAGTAGTCATGTAATTGTAAATCAGTACATAGTGCAATGTTAATCGTTTTTACACTTCACTTGAATGATATGGAATGTAGCATAAAATCATTAAAGCAAATTGTTGGCAACATGATTGGTATAAAAAGAAAAATTAACATTAATAAATATATTTTTGTTTTTGCATTGACAATGTGATAAAATTGTCTGTAGCGGTATCTGGGGTTATTTTTTTGTTTTGTTAAAAAGCTGTTAATATGCAAGCCATTTCACGTGGATTATTTATAAAGCGCTCGCTGTTTACCCATTATATATGGGATATTTAAGCGAAAAAGACGGGGTATATATATATTATTTTACGTTATCATTTATGAATACTGGGTCCCGTGAATTAAAGCGTTGTTGTACATTGAGAGATCCTGTGATTTAGAACTATTTTAAGATGTACATTTTTTCTGTTTCGTAACGTGTAACATCTGTATAAATGTTTAATGTTGTATGCTGTCGAACATGATTTAAAATATTACAAAATAATTTATTTCAGTATGCTTACTTATACCTCATACATTTTACGTAAGCAGTGTTGAGAATCCTACAACCATTTGCTTTCACCCTTACGTTATTGTTAATTTATTGATCACTGTCACCCTTGACAATCCCGTGCTATTTTTTGCATATACTGTAACTGATGAAACCTCATTATTAAAATGGTATTTACAACAACCAATGGCGCGTCAGTGTTATGTATTATCACAGTTCAACATGGAAATGCGATGTTGAGATGAATAATACAGAGAAATACGAGTTGCGTGTGACATTGTTTCGTAGTAAAGCACTATCTATAATATTCAAGGAGTGGAGTCGGTAAATAAGTTATTTTGATAATACTACATTGGGCTCTACTTCGATTTCCCCAAACATGTAAATGAAGTAGAACTATTGTCAACACTGCCCGGTAATATTCATCATCAGTTGTATTGAAGATGCTGTCGTAGGTACCAAACAAATCGTTGACCTCGAATGGAGGCCCTATGTATTGCCCTAGGTTTGGTAGAGTTAGCACTTTAATTTCATTGATAACGATGGATATATATATATTTATATATATATATATAGAATAAAAACAAAAATTCCAGATCGTCCGCTAGGCCTTTCTGCCTTCTAGGGCTTCTTCAGGCGGATTTATTATCTACTATATATATATATATATATATTGCCTCATTAATTTGATAACATACCTCAGTGTTGGTGATCGCATATTTACGTAGGGCACGTACAAACTAAGGATGTGTTGAGTGATGATATAATGCAAAATTGTGCCAAACATGTCACAATAATGACAAGTGCAGTTTATTTACGGTCAACTACTACAAAATACGGAATCTATTCACAGTCGTACATAATGCAATACACATTCGAAGCGGAAAGGTCTTCGCACAATTTACCCGTTATCAAGACCTACACATCGATTATGTGAGTAATAAGAATGTGTCTGAAGATATCATAGTCTGAAGCCGCAACGGTAACGGCAGCTGTGAGATTTTCTTGTCAATATCACTTTTGAGTGTTTTCCAAATCATTAGTGTGGAAATATGAAAAAGACTTTTCGGCACACTCGCCAGATGAATGAGATGATTTACCATGTCTTCATTGTTGAGCAAGGATACCGGAATATTGTTGTCTCCTCTGATAAAGTTGAGTCTGTGCAGATTGAAGCCAGCAGTAGCGAGTATGTGGACGATATTCCAGTGGCCCAGTTCTATAGCTAGACCCATGGAACTGGTGGGAGCTTGTGACGACCCCAACGTTCCCTCAACGTTAACGGCACAACCCCAATTCAGCAGCGCTATCAGGGATGAATCGTCTCCCTTTGATACCGCCATAAGTAATGCTGAAATAGAAAGAATTTATTTTAACACAACTTTATTTTTGAGTTTGAGAACCATACAGCAAACAAATGGTGAATTCCTTATCAACGTAAATACGTAACGATAGTGTTTAATCAATTGTTTAACACGTGTAGTTCAAATCAAATACAATATATATATTGTAGGTATTCTTCCAAATTTTTTACAAACACAAATTATGTAAAACAAACAAAACAGAGTAGGTTTAATGTAAAACTAAAATGAAAAGGCATTGCATCATAAGTTTGATTTGACTAGGTTAGACAAAGCTTACATGTCTTTCCAGGGCGGCATCCCTTTTCTAGGAAATACTGTACAAGAAGCGGACATGAACACTGTGTTGCCATGAAAACGGGATTACAATTGTCTGTGGAGTCAAGATTCATGTCCACTCCAGCCAATAACATATCCTCTATGACAGACATGGTTTCTGAGTCGATCTGTTCGTTAGCACGTGCATGTCCCCTAAGTAAGTTGGTCAGAGGGGTTCGCCCATGAACATCCACAGTGTTCGGGTCTGATCCTGCGTTCAACAGACCTCGAATAAGGAGGGAACGCTTTCCAGTCGCAGCGAACTAAAACAAAACGTATGATTTCAATGCATAATGTATATTGGTTTAGATTATTATACAGCTTATAAACAAATAACATCATGCTGATTTCACAAACTTTGAATTCTATTTATTTGCTCGCTAATGCCTGCAAAGAATATGTTTAAGATATCAATATACCGCACTCTCAGACACATTGAAAAATATTACAAAACAATGAAACTGTTAATGTTTATCTGATATTGTTCCTTTTGCGAATTCACTTTGCGTGAATACTAGTTTGAAAAAGAACCTTAACTCAATATAACTGCAGTTATAAATCGCATATTGTACCATGTACCTGCAAAGCTGTCTTGTTCTCACGGAACGACATTTTATGGACATCTACAGACGCCCCCAATAGAGAATCCAGTAATATTCCTTCATGTTCAAACTCAGATGAGCAAACAATCATTAGAGGGGTCATTCCAAATCTCTCCTGAGCATCCACATCCGCCCCTGAAGTTATCAATAACTTCACAAGCTCGATGTTTCCTGTCTCAACGGCGAAATGCAGAGGGGTCCTTCCCTTATGGTCCTGGCATTTGACGACGCTCGGGTCTCGCTGAAGCAGAAGTCGTGAGATATCGGGGTACTGGAGAGTCATACAATACATGAGAGGAGTGATACCCCACTTATCCGGTCGCTTTACTTCGGCACCATGTTCTATTAATACCTTGGCGCATGCTTCGCGCCCTTTTTCACAGCATAAAGCGAGTACAGGCTTGGAGCTCACAAAGATCATGCCATGAAAAAACATGTGATCCGCGTCAGCACCGTTGTCAAGGATACGAGCGAGTCGCTCCGGGTCATCGTCCACGACAGCTTTGTATAAGTCGGCGGAGAAGTCGTACTCGTCTCGTGGTCTCCGGCGACGTCTGATGGACTTTTCATTTGCCATCCAACTACATTGATGTTGTCATCCTATAGAGTACTACACTGTCATGAAATATACATGTATTATTAAACGCAAATCTTGTGAAATAGAAAAGGAAATATCATCATATTATTAATACACAAGAACCATTATAATAAAAGAAACAGAGCTGCAACTGTGTGCTCCGGAGGGTCAGCATTCACTACACCACATTTGGCCCCGGACATGATTTCACTCATTAATTGCGGGATAGTATGTAGGTCACTCACAATTCAAGACATATCGAAGACGTCTTTAAGCATCATAGAAATGAAACATGATTTGTGGAAATCATGGTATGATGACTATCACAGACAGATAGTAGTGATAACCCTCTCTCGGAGAAACCTCTAACGTCAGTGTGCAGCAAGCAGGTCTGCTGGATGTACACATTAATTCATTGTATGCCAAACAATCAAATCCAAAACCGTTTTTTCCATTTTTTATAAAAATCATCATCCACGTTTTGTTTTTATCACAAGTTGGTATTTCCGACACAAGTGTTTAGTTATAGGTACACTAGCGTCAGCTGAAGCTTATTAGTCTCCAAGTCAAAACCCTAAAATTCCTCACCATAGGATTCTGCACGAGTAAACGCTCTGTTCTATGTTATATCTGTAGACAGGGGAGGATTGAATATTTCTACTGTTGAAAGGAATGTTAACGACTTGAAAAGAAATGTGCCAAGTTTATCATAGAGTTTCAGGTGACGATATTGCAATATCATTAAGAGATTTCAAGATATGACGCTGATGTTGTTGTTTTTCAAATCTACATTTGTGGTTAATACAATTAATCATAATTCTCCTTAAAACATCTTGTTTCTGTTTGATTGTGTCTTTCTTAGTGCGGGGGTGTAATGTTTGTTTTTTGCTTTGTGTCTTCTCAGGGTGGGGGGGTTTCCTGAAGCCCAAAAAACCACTCTGGATCCCCCACTGGTGCTGTAACTCGCCACTCAAAAAACCACGCAAAAAAACTTAAGAGTCTAAATGAAAACAAAATGTCTTTAAATTAAAACTTAGCAACCCTCAGTAATCAAGTTAGAATTTAACAAAAACGGTTGTACCGTGTTGATAGGGTTGTAAATGTTCCTAGAAAAACGTATCATGTTGAATAGGTTGATTTGCATTACATGTTAAGTTCGGGAAAGATCACACTTCACTACAATATCGCATTATGTGCCACTTGTTATAATAAAAGCAACAACTCAAGGCTCTTACATACCGTTTGATCACAACCAGGTTAGTAGGTCGTCTCAAAACGGTTCACAAGTTAATATCCTTGGGTATAGAGCCGTTGTAACAAGCCAATATCGTTCTCAATTCCCTGGGGAGCACACAGTCGGTGCTGCCATTTCGGCGCTCACAGCTAGCATTCAACAATTCTAGTACTGCCAAACCACGTACTCATTTACAGCTGGGTAGACAGGAACAAGCGGAGGAAAGTAGCTTGCTCAAAGATACAACACAGTGCCGTGCCGTGACTCGAACCCGCAACCCTTCGGTCACGAGCCCGGCGTCCTACTACTAAACTACCGTGTCTCTTTTGTAGAATCGTGGGTTTGAACCTCGATCTGATCTTATCTTTCTCTTGTTACCCTTTTGATACGAGATTTTTATTTCTCTGAACAAGATATTTACTCAGACATTTGCATATTAACAGTTGTATAAATGAGCACCAGTATATTTGGGAAGTAAACCAGTGACAGACAAACGTCGTTCGTGAAAAGAGCTGGTCGTCGAGTGACAAAGATATACCTTAGCTAGACATATGTAAAGTAATACAAAATAACAAAATATGTACTAGCTAACAACAATAACTCGGTATCGAAAATATAAAATGAAATCTGCATCGATGCAAACAATTACAATATTATGTTAGACAATACTTACGTGACTAGAAGAAAATAGGGATTGTTTGTGAAGCGAAAACGAAAATGTATCGACAGCTAACTGCACACATATACTGTCTATATGTAGAACAGTACATACCCATACACTGATCAAGAATGTTGATAGCGTTAGCTCAATCTGAGCGCCCATGTCTGTCTAAACATCGTGTAGTGTAAAGATGGGGAAGTATATGTGTATAACTGATACATGCATACAAATAAATTGCTAGCCAACTTATCTTTAATGCAAAAATGACGCATCTCTATTAATTTAGGAGATTTGTTACAAACAATAGCGAATATCTTTCATAACTTTAGTTCAATTAGATACAAATATATGTATATCTTCAATTCATTTATGGATATCGTTAATTACATTACAGATGTTTTATCAATTGGTATGTATGTACCGTAAAAACAAAACATAAACAACACAGACATGATCCGGTCGGTAGAGCAAATACGGTAAACGGGGATATCAATTTCACACGTGTGGTGCGGCTGCAGTGCCTGGACCACCGGAGCTCCTCAGCTATTAGCACGACCGTCGGAGCTCCTCGGCTGTTTACCACGACCAAGGCCACGACGCTTCCAACAGACCCAGTATGTAGAAATAGACATCCTTTTGTTCAAAGATATAAGATTTATTTTGTATGCATACTTTATTGTGATCCTTTGTTTATTTATTGTTTAAGATAGTGTGTAGGTGTACACGTGCGTGAGTATAAATGGGGCTCTCGATAAGTACGCAGTATAGGAGTTATGTATGCTGAGGACACACATGTTGGTATGCTGGTGTTGTTATGTGTTCTGATACGGAGGCCTGTACATGCCACCCTATGTCGTAAGTACGCACAAACTCCACAACACGCACTGGCTCAAATTTAATTAACATTACTTGCATCCTGTGTAAGCGGCATGTGGGGAAACCACTTAATTGGTAACTAACAGTAAACGCATATCCTTTGGGACCACTCAAAAATAATGTTGAACTTGTTCCATGGTATCCCATTTGCACTTTACAATGATTGTACCATAGCCTGCGTATGTTTAATCATGTACAGACCGTGTGTTACTAAGCGTAGCCGTGGATTACGTGTACGCTTAACATACGTGTGTTGAGGTCATAGGACGGAAATAGGAAGTACATCCCTAGTTGAAAATTCTAATGTTTGATATTAAACTGATGAGTATTGTATGTTTATTATTGGCAGAACAGTGTGTTCTCTCAATATTAAAGTAATGCAAAGCAGTCCAGCCATAAATTCAGTGGGTTTTTTTGGTTTTTTTTATCAATGTGTCCATTTTCTGTACTTCAGGAAACCGACTACCTATTTCACTACTGTGAAGTTTATCAAGAAAGATAACTCTTACATGCAACTACTATGTGTATGTGGTTTTATTATAAAATGTCAATTTTTACTCGTTTATAGATAATCAATTTTACATAATTTCAGCATTTACATTAATGCAATACTAATCTATGTCAGTAACATTTTATTGACATTATTTGCAAAATAATTGTGTCTTTCATTTTTTCTTCAAAATTCACTTCTTTTTACATAAATTTCCATTTAGAATCCTTAAAATTCAGAAAACCTATAGTTTTTTTTTGTGCCAGAAAATTTTCATTACTTCAAAGCAATTTAACTACAAATTTGAAGAAATTCTACTAAGGAATGGTGACCCAATCCCATTACCTTAAGTCTAGTAGTGTATTTCATTGGCTTTAAGGACTCATGGCCATGTCTCCATAGCTGACAATACGTGTTTCATTGGCGATCCATCAACGATCTTTCTCAACGAAATCAGTGGATCCAACGGTGAAGGAAACCTAAATGATGGTTCCTTACTTACATTGTCAACTTCAGTGTTCGTAACTGTCTAAAGTAGAGCGACCCAGAATTGTTACAGGCTATTTAACATATGAACAGTTTTTCTTTCCAGATATGAAATAAGGTCAACTGTATACAGCAAAGTACGTCACAAGATGTCGGGTTACGATGAAGATGAGTCCCGTATGGCCCTTAGGTTGTACCACGCCGTAGAAGAAAACAACTTAAAGACATTACGACTGCTACTTGTGAAAGGCGCAAATATTCACTACAAATATTTCGATGACAAATCCCTGCTCCACATTTGTTGTGAGAAGGACCGTTTGGAATGCGCCAAACTTTTGATGGAATTTGGCGCCATTGTTCAGGCGCAAGACGAGTGGAATATGACGCCTTTGATGTACTGTATGGTCCGGCATTTTTGTGACATTGCAAACGAATTATTGGCACGTGATCCGCAATCTGTTCACTCACAGGACAAGTTTGGAAAGTCTGTCATTCATTGCGCCACGGAGTTTGGATCTGTAGAACTCTTGAAGCTTGTGTTGTCGCATGGTGCTGATGTTGATCAGACAGACTGGTACGGGATCACTCCGCTTATGACTCTTTGTGCAGGAACTGGGATAAGACATTCCAAGGAACTGTGTCGCGTGCTGCTAGACGCAGGTGCAAACATCGAGTTAAAGGACATAAGAAGCAGACGCACCGCCTTACAGGTACGTAGTCGTGACGCATAGTAATAGAAAGTATTTATAAACTCTTCTCGGAAATATCGAAATCGACACAATCGTCACAAATGGTGCCTGTTTTTGATTTAAACATATTTTTTTTTTTTTTACATAGCAATGGAATTGGGCACAAGTTTTACAACTTATATCAAGCCCTTTCCCTGTACAATAATATTTTTTTAACAAAATTTCATGATGGCAGAACTACGTAAATAAGCTATGTATTATAAATTAATTAATCAGTGACATACATACACCCACACATTCACACACCGAACCACACGCATGTGCACAATTATAAACATGCACATGTAGATAAAGGAAGGGAGAGAAAGAGAAGGGGGTGGTGAGGGGGAGGGGAGAGAGAGAGGGGGGAGGGAAGAGGGGGGTTAGAGAATCCGATTTTTTAAAGATTATTAGATAAGTACTGCAACAAGACAGTAAATTTAAGAAATATATATCAGACCACGTGGTTGTTCCTTTTCCATGCGAACAGACTAGTTAGTTATACTATTCGCTGTTTACAACTTTCTTCTGATCAATGTTCATCACTTCCCGTGCTATTTTAACTCCTGTTCACTCCGCTTTTGCTGGTATTTCCGTTTCAACTAGTCCGTCCGCACAGAGAGAGACCAAACACACGACTTCATTATATTTATATATATTTTAACTTATATTTGTATATTGCAACTCGTGTTGTCAATCTATTAGTATTAGTAAGATACATGTATTAATAAAGCTGGCGATTTTGAGGGGTGCCGCGTTGGGGGTGTTCATATCTGTTCGAGTCTTGTATATATTGCTGAGTATTCATGAATATAATTTTGTTTTCTAGTTCCGAAATTGTTATATCTCAACAAGAAAAATAGATTCAATGTAAGGGCGCTCAATGTAAGGGGGATGTATGCATTCAGTTCACGATAAAGTTTAATTCTCTGTTCAACGTAATTATCACAGTTAAAAAAAAGAAATGGAAGGTGTCTTCAATAGGGTAGCCACACATACAACGTTGTTCATCAACCAGGTTAACTCGAAAAAGATCGTTTTTCAAAATGCTAGAACGGGTTGCTAGAATGGTGTCTGCTATTACTACTACCAGCTTAAGAATTATAGAACTTAGTTGACTTGTACGATACAGATACGATACAGGCTGCAATACACAACGTTTTGTGAACACATACAAGGTACAAGATAAAACAGCTTCTTCGTATTAACAGAAGCGTGTTAACCCTACCCTACGACTACTGAACTCTGAGAAAATTCTAGCAATGTGTTCATCCCGTACTCCCACCCTTGGAAACAAATGTGTTTCAAAAAGGTAGCTGCTATTTTGCAAAATAGTTTATCACATGCTACCAAATAGTCGAAAACCTCTTGCCAAATTCACAAGATGTTTAAACTCACCTGCTGACGTCTACATGTTCCTGGTTAATACATTCTTTTAAAAATACAAGTGTACCATTTTACTCTTAGTCAACGAACTAGAACGATTAGTATACTGTATTAAAGTGTCCTAACCTGTTTTTGCCTATTATATAAGGCGCTGTATACCTGGTGTAAACAATTTGTTAATATGAATTTACGGATTTGCCAGACTTGATTCACACTTAGGTATACCCAGACTTGATTCACACTTAGGTATACCAAGACTTGATTCACACTTAGGTATACCCAGGCTTGATTCACACTTAGGTATAACCAGACTTGATTCACACTTCGGTATACCCAGACTTGATTCACCCTTAGGTATACCCAGACTTGATTCACACTTAGGTATACCCAGACTCTATTTAAATTAGGCAGGGTTAAGTCTCATAGTAGCTCCGTTATAACTATTCTATACTACTGCAATTGTATTTTAGCTTTTTCCTACATCTATATTCATGTTCTTCAAAGTTCAAGAAACACGGCGCATTCATAGACTTATAACCTCAAACCGTCTCTGAACAGGAGAAATGATATCACCCTGGGATGATCGATCAACAGTTACCTGTCTACAACGGAGGGATATGTCTTATAGGATAGGTATACACTTAGTCAAGTCCTGAAATAACCATACATGTAGGATACTGGACCAATGGTGTCGTTGCAAATCAATCATTCTCCCTGTAAGGTTTGTTATATATGTAGTTCGAAGATTGCCTCCATACTTGGGATACGATTCCGTACAAAGCCTAGGTCTGTAGACATTCAATATCCTATCCCAATCCAAATTGGGCAATATTCTATATATCCAATAACCAATTTGATTATATAATACAGGCTATTTCCGTGCAATATTGTCGTTCAATAAAAACGATAGAGCACACGTACAATCAATATGCAAATGAGTCTTTTGTCACGGTGGGAAACAGGTCATATTCCTTCCACGCATTGATAGCAGAGGCAGGGGCACTGGGAGAATACAATTAACAAACGAGTTTAATAAATTCAATATTATATAAACACGAGTGTTAGCTTCACACAAATTCAACACCTGCATGTTCAAATTCCACTTAAACTTCTCCGACATACACAAAATCAATGGCGAACACGTGTAACCGGTCAACTTCATCAGTGTTCCAGTTTCATGGCGGATTCCAGAGTATAATTTCTGGCTTATGATCAGTGACAGGCGGAAACATCGAGGTTCACATTCACCAACAACCCTCTCCAAAGAAATGCGCTTATGTTTTAGAGAGTGACAATCACTCCAGTCCCTGTAAACTTTTAAAAAGAGCAGACTTCGATATGTATTGTGATAACCTTTACCTTGACAGTGCACGCGCCGTTGTGCCAAATATATGACGTCACTGCTATTTTCGTAAACGCCAATTCGTTGAATGGTTTTCGCATAATAAGTAATTATTAGCTCACCTGGCACGAAGGGCCAAGTGAGCTTATGCCGTGGTGCGTCGTCCGTCCGGCGTCCGGCGTCACTATTTTACTTTAAACAACTTCTTCTCGATAACCAAGAGGCCCAGGCTGATGATATTTAGCCAGTAGCATGCTGGGATGAAGGGCTACCAAGTTTGTTCAAATGAATGACCTTGACCCTCTTTCAAGGTCACAGGGGTCAAATATGTTAAAATCTTCAAACCACTTCTTCTCAATAACCAAAATGCCAAGGGTACTGATATTTAGCCTGTAGCCTGCTGGGATGAAGGGTTACCATGTTTGTTCAAATAAATGACCTTGACCAACTTTGAAGGTCACATTGGTCAAATGTCTTAAAATCTTCAAAAGACTTCTTATCAATAACCAAAAAGCCAAGGGTACTAAAATTGGGCCTGTATCATTCTGGGATGAAGCGCTAATAAATTTGTTCAAACGAATGACCTTGACTCACTTTCAAGGTCACAGGGGTCAAATGTCGTAAAATCTTCAAACGACTTCTTCTAAATAACCAAAAGGCCCAGGGTACTGATATTGGGCCTGTAGCATGCTGGGATGAAGGGCTAATTAATTTGTTCAAATGAATGACATTGACTAACTTTCAAGGTCACAGGAGTCAAATATGTTAAAATCTTCAAACGACTTCTTCTCAATAACCAAAAGGACCAGGGTACTGATATTATGTCTGTAGCATGCTGGGATGAAGGGCTACCATGTTTGTACAAATGAATGACCTAGAAAAACTTTCAAGGTCACATGGGTCAAATGTCTTAAAATCTTCACACAACTACTTATCAATAACCAAAAGGCCCAGGGAACTAAAATTGGGCCTGCATCGTTCTTGGATGAAGAGCTTATAAATTTGTTCAAACGAATGATCTTGACTTACTTTCAAGGTCACAGGGGTCAAATGTCGTAAAATCTTCAAACGACTTCTTCTGAAAAACCAAAAGGCCCAGGGTACTAATATTGGGCCTGTAGAATGCTGGGATGAAGGGCTAATACATTTGTTAAAATGAATGACCTTGACTCAATATCAAGGTCACAGGGGTCAAGTGTCTTAAAATCTTCAAACAACTTTTCAATAACAAAAAGACCCAGGGTACTGATATTGAGCATGTCGCATGCTGGGATGAAGGGCTACCATGTTTGCTCAAATGAATGACTTTGACCAACTTTCAGGGTCACATGGGTCAAATGTCTTAAAATCTTCAAACAACTTCTTCTCAATAACCAAAAGACCCAGGGTACTGAAATTGAGCCTGTAGCATGCTGGGATGAAGGGCTACCAAGTTTGTTCAAATGAATGACCTTCATTCATATTCAAGGTCACATGGGTCAAATGTCGTAAAAACTTCAAACGACTTCTTCTGAATAACCAAAAGGCCCAGGGTACTGAAGTTGAGCCTGTAGCATGCTGGGTTGAAGGGCTACCAAGTTTTTTACAAATGGATGACATTGACCCACTTTCAAGGTCACAAGGGTCAAATATGTTAAATCTTCAAACGACGTCTTCTCAATAACCCAAAGGCCCAGGGTACTGATATTGGGCCTGTATCTTGCTAAGATGAAGGACTACCAAGTTTGTTCAAATGAATGACCTTGACCCACTTTCAAACTAATGTCCTTGTTCAACATTCAATGTCACAGGCGTAATGTGTTTAAATATTTGAATTGGTTCTTATGAATCAAACACTGATATTCTGCCTGTAGCTGTATTTCAAGTGTGAGATTAATACCAGGTGAGCGATGCAGGCCCATTTGACCTCTTGTTGATGTTTTTTTTTGTTTGTTTTTTTTTGTTTTTTTTTTCAAACAATTTACTTCCCCAGCACATTAAGGATACTGCCGAGGTTGGGGAGCCCCGCGATCAGCATCTTCACAATAATGTGTCCTCATACAAGAGGGCTGTCATACTTTCTTTCATACTTACTAGTAATTATATTATTACATCTTTATTCTCTTACTGCATTATTTAACATTTTTTACTTACATTCAAACTTACATTCAAAGTTACCGTACAAATTATCCTTACATATATATATGCATACACTCCCTTTGCCGCGCCTCCAGGTGGATTACCCTGTACTGGGCCTCACTTCCGGGACAAGTCGGCCTTGGCCTTGGCTGTGTGTATTAAAAGTAGCAAGATGGAAACACGCCGCGCTGTGGTATGACAATATTAGGCAGTCCTAAACGTGCTTGTAAATCATTCGAGTATGCCTAACATGTTTGTTTTGAATTTTCTATTGTGAAAGGGTTACCATGTTTGTTCAAATGGATGACCTTGACCCACTTTCAAGGTCACAGGGGTCAAATATGTTAAATCTTCAAACGACTTCTTCTCAATAACCAAAAGGCCCAGGGTACTGATATTGGGCCTGTATCATGCTAAGATGAAGGACTACCAAGTTTGTTCAAATGAATGCCCTTGACCCACTTTCAACCTAATGTCCTTGTTCAACATTCAATGTCACAGGCGTCATGTGTTTAAATTTCAAATGAATGCCCTATGAATCAAACACTGATATTCTGCCTGTAGCTGTATTTTAATCCACTTTTAAGATTTCAAGTGTGAGATTAATACCAGGTGAGCGATGCAGGCCCATTGGATTTCTTGTTGAGGTTATTATGATAATTATTAGTTGATGAAGAAAACCTAAATGATTGTTTGTTCATTGAAAAGATTCTCGGGAAGAAGTTTCTGAAACTATTTTTTGTGGCGAAGCGAGCTCCAAGCAAAATGCATGTAATGCGTCCTTTCGTCAGCCATCGGTACAATTTATATAAGAGGAGGCATATGAAGAAAAAGAGTATTTCTCGAATTTTATAATAAATAGAATCTAATACGCGTGTTCATATAATATTGAATGTATTAAACTCGTTTATTAATTTCATATTACATGAAAACTCGTGTCAGATACTCTATATCAAAGATAATATATCCATTTCCGAAAGTTAAATATACATGCAAGTAACACTTGTGATTATCTAACGAGTCAAAAAGCACGAGTTTATTGCGCGAACGAATATATACGTCCGCGCAATAAATGAGTGCTTTCTGATTCGTTAAGAAACAAAAAGTGTGTGGTTTTGCTTTTACCACATACCTTCCGTATTTGGTAGAGATCGATAAAAAGATTTTATAAATTTTGATATTTTTTTGCAAATACCGGGAATATTTCAGTTTGCCATGACAAGGGGATTCCCATAAAAAGTAGTTCCGGCTAGTAGGTAAATACAACATTCCGTATTGCACGTGTGCAATACAGAACGTTGTATTTCAAGGTCTGAAAATTGCTTGTATTACTATAACAAGATCCAACAGGTATGTAATAGATATGCAGATCGCATGATTTTATGTTGATTTGATACTGATCATAGTCAGAGTTCGTTTACTCCTAGCGAATGAATTCCAGTAACTGTACATGGTACTTTTGCAGTTTGCAGCCGTACAGAAGAACGCTGACCTGGTCCAGTTGTTGGTGGGTGCTGGTGCTGACCCTAACACTACGGACAATGCCTGTCTTAGCCCACTGACCAGCGTCATATTCCAGTTCTATCGCCTGAAGAACGCCAGCTGTGACTTGAACGATGACTTGATGACCATCGTCATTATTTTAACCCAGGCCGGTGCAAACCTGAACCTGAACACTCGAGAGAGCTCAAATCCTTTATATATGGCCGTTAATTTCAAAGTAGAGCCCCTCCTTAGGTTCTTCCTCGACCATGGAGCCGATCCCAATGTAAAATGTACGTAGTATGTTAATTTTACTAGCATATATATACTTCTGCTTGGACAGAAACATTATACAATTATGGACTTCAGGTGAGGTCTATCCCTGATTTACGAACCTCTGAAACTGAAGTCCACAATTGTTTATCATATGACATTTTACAATGAGATTAATAGTTTCATGTCATAACCCTATGGATGACATGGACCATTTTGGAACCAATAGGGAAAATAGAGGTAAAACCTTTAAAATCCTTCTTCTACCACAGGGATTAAGGGATTTTATCCTAATTTAGTCAGGGGCAACCTCGGGCCAAGGGGACTCAATTTTGTATTAGCAGTAGGTGTGGTCTCCAGGGGGGGGGGGGGGGGGGGGGGGGGCTCAGAAGGGCAGGGCCCAATAAGAAAAATAGAGGTAATACCTTTAAAATCCTTTTCCAACCATCGGGATTAAGGGATTTTATCCTTATTTAGTGTGGAGCATCCTTGGGTGACGGTTACTCAATTTTGTATATTGGTGGGTATGACCCCCGTAAGGGCATAGGGGTGGGGCTCTGTTTGAAGTTCGTTCTCTATATCTCAAGTACTGGATGGATCTTTCTGAAATTTCATATGTGCTAACAGCACCTACCATGAAGTGCTATATCTTTACTTCATACCAATTACTTTAATTATATTCAGGTGAGCGATACAGGCCCTCTGGGCCTCTTGTTCTATTTGACTTTTGTGTTAATGCGTTAATCACCGTTTTTGTAGCTGATTGTTAAACACATTTTTGAATTATATATTTTAAAACATTCGATACAAACTAGACCTAAATAACTGTCAACATTTATATTGATGTTCCAGTTCCAATGGGTGGGACGCCATTACTGACGGCGGTGAAGAAAAAAGATGCAGCATGTGTCCGCGCCCTCCTTAACTGGAGCGCGCGTTCCAACATCCGGGGACGGGTGTTTAGAACAGCTCACGTTCACGACCAGTACTGGGTGGATGCCATGGAACTTGCCATGGACCAAGGTTGCTGGGACATTGTTCTCCTTTTGTATTCTGCGGGATACAACATCAGCAGATTACACTACCTTCGAGAGGACGTAATAGACTGCGAAGTTCCTGAATCATTGTCTCGGGACAAGGAAATGCTTACTTACTTACAGTACTTGGCCAGGAATCCAAGAACTCTGTTTCATTTGACAACAATTTGCATATGGAAGAGCATACAAAGTAACATACAGGAAAATATTAAACAACTTCCGCTTCCAACGAGGATCAAACAGCTCACCTCTCCCGAGTTTGTCCTGGAGTAAACCTTTCTATATTTTTGTTTTGCTCAGTTAAGTGGTCGAGTAAAGTGTAAAATATTTATCAAAGTTTAGAGTACGACGAAAGAATCTCACTAATCGGGGTAAGGTTCATAAATACCCATGAGGCCTGTGCCAAACACAGGACACTTAAGGACCTTAACCGGAGAGTTGAGACTTTCTACTTCATTCCTAAAGTGGACAATTATTTTCCCGTTCCCAAAACGGGAGCGTTTCATCAAGAAGAAAACGTTGCACAGCCATAAAGGGGCGTTATTTAATTGTACAACGGCATATCAGTTCTTATTGAAACGTCATAGCACGTACACGTTGTATAGTTGGTAAGCAGGGGAATCATCCACAGTAACAGTGAGAGACAACTCAGTAATCAGTAGAGGGTCGGAAGGTATAGAGGACAATTTTCGGGTCGAGGAATTACATGTTGTAACCGGCAAACTTTAGCTGCCAACCAACAGCTATATATATCGACAGTAGACAGCTGGTTTATATATCAAGTATTCTTATCAAAATATCACAATTATACGCTCAACATTGTTTTGCGATATTCAGATATGTATATTTTATCATAGTATTGATTTTGCCTTTTACACACTATGGGCTTTAGCTTAAAGTACAACAGCATAATTATGCTACGTCAGTGTCATTTTCGCATATCGGAGCTAAGTGATAATACTGCATAACAGGTTCCAAATCAATACATTGAGTTACCCTCATATAGACTCCGTTATGATAATAATCAAGTAACTCTATTCAGTAGTACAATGTATTGCATTTTATGTCATTGTTATCATGTAAATGTAAATATATGACAGAAATCGACGCCGATTATTGATGCATTCAGTATGTATTCAAACCTTATTAATCGTTTTGTAATAAATATATTTATCACATAACTCCACTGTGTCTACTGAGTTTTAGATCGCACGATTACAATGAGTGTCTGGATATATATCACGAGAGCTTTGGCGCGAGTGTGGATATATATCACGAGAGCTTTGGCGCGAGTGAAGTGTGTCCTTTCGCACAAAACAAACGAGTTCAATCTCAGACTTCATATTAACATGAACNTAGTTCTATATAAAGGAGGATTTGAGTATTTACAAAATCATAACTTGGACTATAGGCAGGTTGTTCCTGGCAAGGGCTTGTATTTTGCAAGCCAAATCAGCTCCTATATCCTGCCCAGCTACATAATAATAAGAAAGGAAATATCCATCACTGTAGTTTGAGATTCCACCTTTGCGTGATTTCTATTCTAGATATTCAGGACGAGTGTGCAGATTGCGACAGACTATTTTAATTGTGAATTGGGTTATTATTATGTTTAGGTTGGTATGTTGTTATGGTATAATGTATGAATAATATGTTATNTCGTTCTGTTACATTACTCACCCTTACTTGTAATATATACCTACACTCGTTCTGTTACATTACTCACCCTTACTTTTAATACCTACCTACAATCGTTCTGTTACATTGCTCACCCTTACTTTTAATACATACCTACACTCGTTCTGTTATATTACTCACCCTTACTTTTAATACATACCTACAATCTTTCTGTTACATTACTCACCCTTACTTTTAATACATACCTACAATCGTTCTATTACATTACTCAACCTTACTTTTAATACATACCTACAATCGTTCTGTTACATTACTCACCCTTACCTTTAATACATACCAACAATCGTTCTGTTACATTACTCACCCTTACTTTGAATACATACCTACAATCGTTCTGTTACATTACCCACCCTTACCNGATATGTTGTCCACGACCAAACTAGTCTGATACAATGATATTTTGTACAGGACAAAACAAGCCTGATACAATGGTATGTTTGTACACGACAAAACTAGCCTGATACAATGATACGTTGTCCACGACAAAACTACTCTGATACAATGATATGTTGTCCACGACAAAACTAGTCTGATACAATGATATGTTGTACACGACAAAACTACTCTGATACAATGATATGTTGTACACGACAAAACTACTCTGATACAATGATATGTTGTACACGACAAAACTACTCTGATACAATGATATGTTGTACACGACAAAACTAGTTTGATACAATGATATGTTGTCCACGACAAAACTAGCCTGATACAATGATGTGNTTTTAGTACATACCTACAATCGTTCTGTTACATTACTCACCCTTACTTTTAATACCTACAATCGTTCTGTTACATTACTAACCCTTACTTTTAGTACATANCCACGAAAAACTAGTCTGATACAATGATATGTTGTACACGACAAAAATAGTCTGATACAATGATATGTTGTCCACGGCAAAACTAGCCTGATACAATGATATGTTGTCCACGAAAAACTAGTCTGATACAATGATATGTTGTCCACGACAAAACTAGTATGATACAATTACATTTTAATCACGACAAAACTAGTCTGATACAATGATATGTTGTACACGACAAAAATAGTCTGATACAATGATATGTTGTCCACGAAAAACTAGTCTGATACAATGATATCTTGTACACGACAAAAAAAGTCTGATACAATGATATGTTGTCCACGAAAAAGTAGCCGGATACAATGATATGTTGTCCACGAAAAACTAGTCTGATACAATGATATCTTGTACACGACAAAAATAGTCTGATACAATTATATGTTGTCCACGACAAATCTAGCCTGATACAATGATATGTTGTCCACGAAAAACTAGTCTGATACAATGATATGTTGTACACGACAAAACTAGTCTGATACAATTATATGTTGTCCACGACAAATCTAGCCTGATACAATGATATGTTGTCCACGACAAAACTAGTCCCATACAATTATATTTTATCCACGACAAAACTTGTCTGATACAATGATATGTTGTCCACGACAAAACTAGCCTGATACAATGATATGTTGTCCACGACAAAACTAGTCCCATACAATTATATTTTAATNTTACTCACCCTTACTTTTAATACCTACAATCGTTCTGTTACATTACCCAACCCTTACGTTTTATATATACCTACAATCGTTCTGTTACATTACNTCATACAATGATATTTTGTCCACGACAAAACTAGTCTGATACAATTATATTTTAATCACGACAAAACTAGTCTGATACATTGATATGTTGTACACGACAAAACTAGTCTGATACAATGATATTTTGTCCACGACCAAACTAGTATGATACAATGATATGTTGTCCACGACCAAACTAGTCTGATACAATGATATGTTGTCCACGACAAAACTAGCCTCATACAATGATATTTTGTCCACGACAAAACTAGTCTGATACAATGATATGTTGTACACAACAAATCTAGCCTGATACAATGATATGTTGTCCACGACAAAACTAGTCTGATACAATGATATGTTGTCCACGACAAAACTAGTCTGATACAATGACATGTTGTACACAACAAAACTAGTCTGATACAATGATATTTTGTCCACGACAAAACTAGTCTGATACAATTATATTTTGTCCACGACAAAACTAGTCTGGTACAATGATATGTTGTCCACGACAAAACTAGTCTGATACAATGATGTGTTGTCCACGACATAACTAGTCTGATACAATGATATGTTGTAAACGACCAAACCAGTCTGATACAATGATATGTTGTCCACGACAAAACTAGTCTGATACAATGATATGTTGTCCACGACAAAACAAGTCTGACACAATTATATTTTAATCACGACAAACCTAGTATAATACAATGATATTTTGTCCACGACAAAACCAGTCTGACACAATGATATTTTAATCACGACAAATCTACACTGATGCAATGACATTTTGTACTGCTTTCGGTTGGCGTAGGTGTTGTCAGCTACATTATGGAATAGCGTACTCGCCTTCCACAAAATGGCTGGGTATTTGATTCCCTTATCCGACGTGTATTAGTATCGAGTCACCTGTTCGAACGCCTGTGTTTACCTAAGGCACCTATGTAAATTGATAAATCGATAAATTTAAACCACCTTTTAATATTTCAGTTGTGATATTTAAAGCAGATTATCACGGTTATATGTATACTCTTTCACAGCCACGCGTAAAGGATCCACTGAAATATATGCATACAAATTAGAATTCAAGCCCCCATTTACGGCATATAAAGCGTACCTTTTAAATGAATATGAATTACACGCAATTGTCAGTGTGACAATTAGTATTCTACCTTAAATTACTTCCTAGTTGGACTCGCATGAAATTTGTAATTTGATGACAGCCTGGTGAAACCAGAGACAACTATCAACATCCATCTTAAACAAATAAGCCAAGTGAAAAACACCAACTGTAAGAAATCTAAACGATTTTTTTAAACAATAAAACCTTTGAAAATGTACTATAGTAATAGTAATTTGCTAATGCTAATGAAGTTTTGTTGTTATTCTTACAGGGAAAAACTAAGTTGATTAGGCAAAATGACCAGGCTTAAAACTTTGATATATAAGGGTCATATGATTCATGGTAAATTCATCCAGAAACTCAATGTTGTTATGACATCATACCCGTTCAAATCTCATTTTTATTCCTTACCATTACATTTTAATATACTTTTAACGATTAAACTACAAAACATAATATAGTTTTTTTCTCTCTCATTTATACAAGGGGGCAACACAATAGAATGAACAGCATATAATATCGGAAAATATTTAACTTCCATTGTAGAACAAGCAAAATGTGAATCTATCTATCAAAAGTGATTGCTATCAGCTGAAAGTACATTTTTTTCAAAAACCTCTGTTTCTGTTGTTTGTCCTAATATTACATTTTAATTGTTTTATGTGAAAAACATTATTCAGCTTTGCTATTCGGAGTTGGCTTTGTTTTGTGCAACTACAACTATAAATAGATTGACTGAATTGATCAAAGAAGCAAAAACACACAAATTGAAAAATTTCTGATAATGTTGCTAGTTCCCCCCTGAGTTAATTGTGATAATTTCAAATATGAATTTCAATCAAGAATTTCTTGGAGTTTCAATTTGCTCACTTGGCAGGCGTATCACACTTTGCTTGTTACGCATTTACTGTTGTGAGCTAGTACCATTGTTACGAATTTATCATATTCAGGCCTTAGTACACATTGAAATATATGTGTAAACAACTTACAATACAAGCCTCATTTCTGGACTCCTTTATCCATTTATATCGTAAACTGCTTTTGTGAATTCGTACGAATCACTATCGCAGTGTGATCAATGAGTTTAACGATATACCACAGAACAAAATTTCGAGTAGCTGTTAAATGAAATACGGTTTGTTGCCGACACATAGTGATATCAGAGACAATGGTTCGTACTGCATATGTACGAGCTTCATTAGTAAAGTCAAAACCCCTTGGTATAGATTGAGACTGCTTTGGAGATAAATGTGTTTTATTCAAATTCAATTCATCGCAAAATATTTACCCTTTATTTTTGCATAACACAGGTGACCTCATCACAAAACGTATTGAGACCGTGTCGGGCCGCATTACGTGACACAGACGTAGTTTGTTTACCCTTCACCGTAAAGCTAACGTGTAGGTATTTAATGCCTTTCCACTTGCCAAACATTGTTTTATAATTAATTAACATTGACGCTCCATGACCTGACCAGCGGTCACCCGACCCCATCTTTACCTCTCATTCCGACTCGCTGAAAGTTTTGTTACTTTACCCCTCTATTAACGTATCATTCTACAATATCCACAATGAACTCTGATATTCTCGCTAGTGTTGCCAATATCAATGAAATCAAAGACCCCGAAGTTATAAGCGAAGTCATTGGAAAACTCATGAATAACAGCCTATTCAAGGAGTCATTACTATCCAGCCTAGGGATACCCCAGCTCCATCGCCAGATAGCCGAGCTTGAGTCTCGGCTAGACGACATGGAACAGTACTCCCGCCGTAACTGTCTCAAGTTCCGGGGCATCCCTGAGTCCAACCACGAGGACACCGATTCGCTTGTTATTAATTCATGTATCGAACAACTTGGAGTCCATATCGATCTAAACGACATAAGTAGGTCGCATCGGGTCGGCCCCAGATCGTCACTACACCCCCGCGATATTATCGTCCGGTTCCTCTCCTACAGAATCAGAGCCCAGATATACGAAGCTAGGTTCTGTCTCTTCAAGAAACCTGTCGCAGATGACCAGCCTCCAGCTGAAACCCAGCCCTCCTCGGTCGTGAACCCATCTACCACCTCGCCCAAATCTCTCGCTCACCCAGCTCTACCGAAACTTTTTCTAAATGAGGCCCTCACCAGCCAGCGTGCCAAGGTTTACGCCAAGGCACGGTTTCTCAAGAGCAGGAAACTCATCAGCAGCACCTGGACCACAGACGGCAGGATTATAATTCGTAGCAACACCGGAGAAAAGGCTACTGTCACTACCCTGTCCGAATTATCCTCATACCCTGATCCACCTATCCGCCAAAATCGAACTGGCTCCAAACCCTCATCTGCTGAATTCCTCACTCCTAGACGTACTTACACCAAATTCAGAAACCAGTCCACCGCCAGTACAGCTGTTTCCAACCTGTTCACCCCTCTGCCAAAGGAATAAAGTGTTTACCATGTGTTTACCATATATTCTCATCATGTCGTTTATAGTGTTTCATAAGTAGTCTATAACTATATTATTCCATTATCTCCCAATTTATACATATATTAATTGATATTCACTCGAGCTAGAAGATACTAGGGAGAAATGAGTACTTTTGCTATCAGCTTTTTTATTGTACTACATTATCTTATGTTGATATACACACAACCAGAGACATACCATCAACCTCCCCTCCATGTGTGTCATGTATATATATTTATTTATATGAAAAACAAATATATTTTGTGTACAGACGTACATGTACCTTGATTTTTCTAAAAGGTAGGCATGAGTTGTAATTTCTAGTCTGTATCCATTTTTTTCTCTCTCATATATCCAAACATGCATGACATATATGTCCATGCCCATTGCATGATGAGTGTGTATATTACATGTTTATGAGAAGTTTATCAAACCAATCTTGCTAAAATTAATAAATCTAAACTTATGCTAAGTCTACATCCTTGATCAAAATAACAATCCATAGATCTCGATCACTTCTATGATAAACCATGGCCACAACCCATAAGATTGTACCCCCCCCCCCCTTCCTAGTGTAATGCAATATTATTTGTATACTAAATGAATGTTTTATTATATTGCAACCCAAAGGCCTATATAGTAGTTTCAACGTATACTACGGTATATATATATAGTACTGACAACCATATATGTCAACCTTACTATAGAATACCAGTGTACATGTGGTGTGTTACTTTATCTGTCAAATTCTCCTTGGTATCTATTTTATTAGATACATTTCCTATCCAGGTTACCGAATCGTAATCAATGCTAATCCTGATTGTCGACAAATAGTAGTAGCAAACTCTTTCATAATCACTGTATAAGAGCTGACATATCCCTTAATTGCATTAGTGTTACTGACATTCTTCTGTTTTGACTAGCATATATATATATGTCCTGCCATCCTTGCAACAATATTAGATCAGTCTTATGTGTACAGCAACTACCTTTGGTGTCATTCTTACCTTATTAATCATTAAATATTAGTAAGGTTATCTAACCTCTCTCAATATGTATCATGCATTTCTCAATTTCCCTCGTGGACAAATCCATTTTTTAAGAAAATCCTCAATGTTTACGAACAATTCATGGTCTGCTGCCCAAACAAAAGTCATCTATTCATCGACCCACGTGCGTATGTTATGTGTCGCGCGCAACACGCGTCATTACAAGCACANCATACCTACACTCGTTCTGTTACATTACTCACCCTTACTTTTAATAGCTACAATCGTTCTGTTACATTACCCACCCTTACCCTGTATTGTTGTTTCAATTTGAACCGAATAACGATGGTGGACAAAACGGCATCAAGTACGTAATAGTTTGAACTCGCGTTGGCAATAAAATGTGAACTAGACGGTTTGGAATCTATTCCCAGTATAAATAGTTGATTTAATTACAAAATCACAACCAATTAAAAAGCAGTTATGTCTACTGGGGTAATACAGCATCTTGTCTTATCACTGTGTTGAATCCTGAAAGGTGTATTGCAATGCCTGAAACCGGATGTACATATCATTGTAATACCAGAAATACACATGCATGACAAACCGTGTTACAAACACCCGTTAAATAACACTTTGTTGGCTCTAGATTCAACCTATCTTAATCATATCGTCAATATTGGGACAACTTCATGGCGTTTCATAATTCCAATTGATTTTTTACCTCAGAAAAAAATGGAATGGTGTCAAAATGTCGATATTCGTTTATTTCAAACTAGTCTTAGGAAATTACATTTTCATTAATATTTTGTAACCAAATTTACCCATGTGATGGACAAAATTTACACTATTTTCCATATTGTATGCGGTTTATGAAACTCACAATCGTTCCACTAAGTTCGGTAGAAACTTATCGAAATGAGAATTTACTAGAATTGTTTAAAAAAAAAACCATATGAATAGGAAAACCATCAGTTGTCACGCCGCTACGTACGCGGAGAATAGAAATGAAGTCGACAAGGAAAGGTACAAGTCTTGACGAAGGTAAGAGAAAAACGATCTTTGAAAAATATCAAATAGGGTTATATGGTAAAGCATGGCACTAAAGGGATAAGTTTAGGACGAGTTGCAAAAGATCTGGTAAGAAATAAAAACCAATTTGATTTAAAACCTATTGTTCTTAAAATTGTTTCCTTTAAATGGTCCTGCATAAATGTTCAAAAATGTGACACTAACCAAACCCAGGATGAATTTACGATTACTCAAATGTGTTCCCTTCTCCCGGATCTTGACGAATTGGCTAAAGATCGATTCATCGAAGGGGAACATATGCTTTAAATCACTTAATAGGTCAATCGTACCACTGTTTCTGCAATCAAACTCACAACATCGTGTTCTGCAAGATGCCAAATACAAGCATATTAACATCGAAATACACTGTTAGACAAAAAATAACCATATGATGTAGTTTTGAGCTTACGCCTATGGTTGGTTTTCTTAACCCTGATTAGATTCACATTTATTATGTCGAAGTTCAAAGATACTTAAGTTAGCTTAATATTTAAGGTCTTGTATAATTTTGCGAATGTTCATCATCGCAAAAGTGTCATAAGAAACACAATTGCATGTAGGAATTATTGAACTTTAATTTAAGGAATTGTGTGACTGTATTATGTGTATGATAACAGTGAAGGTTCTCTCACTATAACAAACAAACAGACAATGATGACAATTATATATTGTACCTCCAATTCCTTGCTTTCTACTGTCTATTTTTACTTATCTCCGTTGTGATGAATTAAACAGATAATGTCATTTTAGGACGTGACTCCATGTGTGTAATGTGTGTATGCATGAGTGCCTGAGGCGTTGTGTTGGTGTATTTTGCCTCTTTGTGATAGCGCGGATCTAGTGGCTATCTCACTGAACCACCTGGTCACATTATACTAACAAACGATAAACATGTCGTTGCGCTTGTGTATCGAGGGCGATCCATTAATTTAAAGAAGGAGCTGACCCTAAATGATAAAGTAATATCAACTATTATTTTCACTACTGTAGTAAACCCATTTGAGTTTAAACCTGCAAAATCTATACAATATCTATATATTTCGCTTGACAAATATGTTTGTGTTTGGTTTCAAAACACATAGTTTTTTCGAAAGATATCTTGATATATTTGATATTATTAAAATAAAAAACAAACAAGCAAACAATAACACTATTTAATCTGTTGTGTAGACTAGCATTGCATTGAGGATATATACAAATGTACGACAGTCGTTAACTTCAAGTAAAAATGATAAGTTATCATTTATCAGTTATATAAGTATCAGTTACCTTTGTTATGCAAGATACGGGTTCTCAAATAATCGTTTAAATGTTCATTTTTATCTTTGTAATAAATAAGGTAAGATGTGACGTTGTGGTTGATAACTAACTCATCCAATGACAAACTCAGGGCTCATAAAGTGTTTTATCATATTTGGCAGTGGAAGATCATTAATCTTTTGTCTGAAATTTTTGTCCAGAACACGCCACACGAATAATGTCGTCAGATGAAAAAGAGTTCTCGGAGAGCTTGCCAAAAACAGGAGCCAGCTCATGATTTCGGTATTCCCCAATAGGGATTCTGGAAGTTCTGAATCCATGACACCCTCGTGAAGGTAGGGAAGTCTGCTGATGTTGTAGCCGGCCGAGTACAATAGAAGGACAATGTCCCAGCACCCCAGGTCAACTGCAAGTTCCATGGGATCGACCCAGTACTGGGTGTGAGCCGTCCGATACACCCGTCCACGAATGTCTGTCCGAGCGTTCCACTGGAGCAAGGCACGGACACAACCAGCATCCTTCGCTTTCACTGCCACGAGTAGTGACGTCACACCCAACGGAACTAAAATGCATTAAATAATATTGCACACGTTTTAAAACTTCGCGTCTAAACATGACATCTGTTTGTTTTATTTGTAAAGGTAAGTATGCAATGTAGAGGAAATTAACTAGCTTTCAAGATAATACATTATGTACATATATAAGATCATATTTAATACAAAATGTTTTGTTGTATTTATAACGATCCCCTAAAATAACAAAACAAAAAACCAAAGGAACTTGGACCGAAGGGCCAAGTGATATTTAGCTGGTAGCTTACTTGGATGGAGCCTTACAGTTTACCTTTTCAATGTAAACGAAGTCAAATTAAAGTTGAAAGTTTAATTTCAACTGGACTTAGAAGTCATCGTATTAGACTGGTAGATTCCCTTGATGGAGCCCAACAAAGTTTGCGAACAAAAAATATGTCGACTTACTTTCAAAGTCACAGAGGTCAAATAGGTATAAAACTTAAAACGACTTCTTCTGAAGAACCAAAAGGCTAAGAGTTGTGATACAAGACTGGTATAGTTCTAGGATGAAGCAAAACAAAGAGTGCAAACAAATGACCTTTTCCTACTTTTAAGGTCACGGAGGTCAAATATGGATACAACTTGAATCGACCTCTACTGAATATCAAGGCATAAAGTCATGATGTAAGGCTGATCGATTCCTTGGAAGGAGCCCAAAAAATAAAAATGAACCAATTGCGAAGGTCATGGGGTGAAATATGTCTAAAACTTAAAACGACTTCTGCAAAACTGAAAGGCCTACATCTGTCTTATTTTCAGGGTCACAGGGGTCAAATATGTCTAAAGCTTCAAACGACTTCCTCTGAAGAAACCAATGGCCTAGATTCATGGTAGTTCGTAGGTATATTTCTTGCATGGAGGCTAACAAAGTGTCAAAAAAACCTATATTGATTTACTTTCACTGTCATCGAGGTCAAATATTTGAAAAACTTCAAAAGGTAAGTCCTAATGTAATGATATTTTGCTGGCGAGTTTCTGTTATCGAGTCTTGCAAAGTTTGCAAACAAAATAACCCTTAGCTAATTTTGAGGTAACAATGGTGAACCTTTGCATCAATGTTAAACTCCTGAAGAATCCACACACTTGTAGGGAATTCGAAAGGTTCGGATTTAGAATAACGATTTCTAGACGAGTTATTAATATCCCTGTGACTCTTGTTTGTAATAGTTACATTGAAAAGGAATTTTTTGAAGCGATCATGAGGGACAAACCTAAGATATTATCTTAATAGTATACAACCTGACGGGAACATGTAATCCGGATATTCAGAATCATGGTCAACTCAATGTTTTACTGTATACTTACAGCTAGTGTTGGGGTCGGCCCCACAGTCCATAAAGAACCGTACGAGAGCCTCGACTCTGTAGGCAGCCGCCTTGCAGACTGGGTTTGAGTTCTCGCGATAGTTCATGTTGAGATTTGCTCCAGCCTGTGTAAGCATGATGACGACGGTCATAAGGTCCTCATCTACGTCACGGCTGGCGTTTTGTAGGCGGAAGGTCTGATATATGAGATTAGTGAGAGGAGTCCTGCTGGCCGTGTCAAAGGTGTTCGGGTCCGCCCCAGCTCCTAGTAAGACCTCCACAACAGCCGGGAGCTTGTTAAGAGAGGCATACTGTGAAATACAACAATAGCATCTGTTGACTAGTTAGCATTAGGAAACGTAGGTGATATCCAATAGGAGATTTATTATGATTGAAATCCAAGTGAACTTATTCCCTTATTTTATCTTCATGTAAGACCGGCATCATTTATATACTGAAAAAACCCCCAAATTATTCTAAATTATAAACTTTCCTACTAGAGATGCTGCCTTGACGACAATATTCACGAAAATCGGAGCAAACCAGCTACAGCAGAAGGGTCACAGACATAAAAGGACGCACATTATCACATGCTTAATGATACATTTCAGTTCGTCAGACATATGAACCTAACCTGCAAAGCGGTTCTTCTACTTCTAAGGTCCTTAAGGTTTACATCAGCACCTGCGTGTAAAAGCATCTCACATAGTGCCACGTTGTGGCTGATTCCAGGTCTGGAACACACGGACATGAGAGCTGTCATGCCACCCCAGTCTGTCTGATCGGTCACGACGCCATGAACCAACAACAAATGCAGGAGTTCCGGTGAACCAGACTCAACGGCGCTGTGAATAGCAGCCTTGCCGAACCTGTCCTGTGAGTGGACAGCTAGCGGATCACGTGACAACAGCTCTTCAGCAATGTCATTTAGCTGTCGAACCATACAGTACATAAGAGGCGTCATGTTCCATTCATCCTGTGCCTGGATATTTGCACCATAATCCATCAATAGTTTGGCGCATTCCAAACGATCCTTTTCACAGCATATGTGCAACAAGGATTTCTCACCAAAGTATTTGTAGTGAAGGTCCGCTCCCTTTGTGAGAAGTTGTGTTAGTTCGCCCCTGTCATCGAGTTCCACAGCGTGATAAAGTTGAAGGGCAACCTCTGATTGGTCTCTGCAGTCATGTGACATGATGTAAAACTAAGATCAGGGAAATTACATCACCAAAGCAAGCTGAAGGTAGCTGAAAAACAAGTTTAGCAACAGTTATTTTAGCCAATCCAGATATGCCACAACAAAGCTCAAATTTGCATCTAAAGTTTATTTCAAATAAGAAAATAGTTCTGAAATTGGAGATTGCGACTACGTAGTCTTGCAAAGTTAATAAATGCCGTTGGCATTTCACAAAGTTACGGTAGAATAACACAGAAGAGGAAACAATGGAAACCAAAAAATAGGCGATACCTTAACTTTAACAGTTGGTAATACATCATCCTTTACAGCTGAACAAGAGACCATACCTCAACATCAACAACTGATCATAACTAAGTCTAAACAATCGGCAATACCTATACCAAAATTATAGATCTTACATTGGACCTAAACTTTAATGTCATGCCTTAACTTAACCTGAACAATACCTTAACCTGAATAACAGAGCATACCTTAAGCTGAACAACCGAGCATACCGTAACCTGATAGAACAGAGCATACCTTAACCTGATCAACAGAGCATATACTTACCTCATCAACAAAGCATAGCTTAACCAAAACAACAGAGCATGCCTTCAACGGAACAACAGAGTATACCGTAACCTGATCAACAGAGCATACCTTAACCTGATCAAGAAGCATACCCTTAACTGAACAACACAGCATATATTAACTTGATCAACAGAGCATACATTAACTTGATCAACAGAGCATACCTTAACCTGAACAACAGATCATACACTAACCTGATCATCAGAGCATACACTAACCTGATCAACAGAACATACACTAACCTGATCATCAGAGCATACACTAACCTGTTCAACAGAGAATACACTAACCTGTTCAACAGAGAATACACTAACCTGAACAACAGAGCATACCTTAAGCTGATCAGCAGAGCATACCTTAATATGACCAAGAGCATACCCTTAACTGAACAACAGAGCATATATTAACTTGATCAACAGATCATACCTTAACCTGAACAACAAAGCATACCTTAAACTGAACAACGGAGTATACCGGAACCTGATCAACAGAGCTTACCTTAACCTGACCAAGAAGCATACCCTTAACTGAACAACACAGCATATATTAACCTGATCAACAGAGCATACATTAACCTGATCAACAGAGCATACATTAACTTGATCAACAGAGCTTACCTTAACCTGACCAAGAAGCATACCCTTAACTGAACAACACAGCATATATTAACCTGATCAACAGAGCATACACTAACCTGATCAAAAGAGCATACCTTAACCTGATCAACAGAGCATACCTTAACCTGATCAACATAGCATACCTTAACCTGAACAACAGAGCATACACTAACCTGATCAACAGAGCATACCTTAACCTGAACAACAGAGCATACACTAACCTGATCAACAGAGCATACCTTAACCTGATCAACAGAGCATACCTTAACCTGATCAACAGAGCATACCTTAACCTGAACAACAGAGCATAC